TTTTGTCCCATTTTATGACCTTTCTTGCCTCAGTTATTAAGTGAATCACTGCAGTTTTTAACTTAGTAACACGGTTGTTAAGTGAATCTGGATTCCCCATTGATTTTGCTTGTCAGAAGGTCATAAAAGGCGATCACATGACCCCCCCGGGACACTACAATAGTCAAAGCATCCAAAGTTTGATCATGTGACCAGGGGGGAAACGCTGCAATGTCGTAAGTGTGAAAAACCATCATAAGTCACTTTTTTCAGTGCCATTATAACTTTGAATGGCCACTAAATGAACTGTTGTAAGTCGAGAACTAGCTGTATAAATAAGACCATGGGAGATTGTTCCATATACTGGCATAATGCAGGACTGTAACTAGATTGTTAGCCTGGCATTTTCAGAAAATTGATCTCATTTTACAACATCAATCCATTTGTCCGTCTATTTCTCAATAACCTTTTTCAATATTTACTACCTGGGAGTAGTGTAGATCCTACTACTGAGCTATGTTCCTTCCCTATATCATCTTTCTAAACAAATACACACAAGCACATACATCCGCTTCTCTTTCGGGCTGTAAGTCATATATTTTCAATAATTCAAATATCAGCACAAGAGTTTTTTTCCACTGCTAAACCTGTTACTGTATTTATATTTGTGTACAATTTATAAAATAAACTAGAAGGCAAATCATCAGGAAAAATGATTATCCCTGAATAAGTAGATGAAGAAGATTCTGAGCTTAGTGACATTAATTCAGAACAACAGGATTGATTGATTAATGGGCACATAGCTATAGTTTTAGGGAGTGCATGGTTTGCATGCCTTCTCTTTGCTGCTGACTTGTACATACATGTAGGTAAAAGGTTAAATGGTCTAAAAATGAATGGATTCAAAAGTCAGAGAATTTAGTCTCAGATCAATAAATGATATATGTACACATTTCTGTACACCAGAATCCACAAGCTAAAGAAGTTCTTCATTCTTACTCCCAAGAAAATTAGAGAGCTCTGCATTTGAAGTCATACAGCAGCAATATGTAAAACTAATTTGGGGGGAGCTGTTATTAAATTATTTTCTTTTTCTAAGTTTAATAAGACAACAACAACTAGATTCAAAAGCTTTTAGGGCAAATTAATTTGGCCTTTACTGACATACCAATTTACTAAGGTATCAGATCAGTACTTAGCCTTAATGAATACTAGTTGGACATCTTCCATTGCTCAGCAAAGTGAAATGGACTCAGTAATTGTGGCTGTAAGTGCACAGCTGGAAAACCTGAAAGGCCAGGGTAGGGACAGATCGTCATGGAGTACATCTATCTATGTGGTCACTAAGAGTTGACACCAACTTGATGGCACATAATCATTTTTTAAAAAATCAAAATTAACAAGACAACAGATAAGTATATTCATCTTACAGTGAAATAATACAGTGTTGTCCATATAAATATACAGACCTGGCTACTCTGTGGCTTTCCTTTCCAAGGAGACGAACACCTTTGAGAATCCCCTCTTTCAGTCAGGTATAGTTTGAGGAACGAAGGAAGGGATATTTCTTTAACTGGCTCAGACCATGACAATATAACTCATGGAAGAAGCCTTCTGCTTAGAGTTTCCTAGCCAGAAAGTGGGATCTCAAAGTTTCAGTGGCTGAGAGTAGTAATCATCTAGGTGGCTTCTAGGCTGGATCCTTAAGATTGCCCTGGAGTTCAAGGACCAAGCTGTTCAAAGTGCATGGATGTGGGTCAGCAGCTGCTTATGTTGTGAAAGTGCTAAAGAAGTAGAAGTTGCTTTAGCAGAAAGAAACAACTTCATTATTTTTAAGAGGCTTTCCCAGCCAACGGGAACAAAAAGATTTATAATTGGGCCAGAATCCTCTGAGGAATTCTGTTTCTCCCCAAAAGGAGAAAGCAGGAGAAGGTGCAAGGACCCATTAAAGATTTCTGCTTAGAAGACTTCCTGCAATATTTGAAGAAGGGGATTGGTTTGGGTTCATCAGACTAAGATAAACTAATGAAATATAATGAAGTTGCACTAGCACTGCTAATACGATACAGTAAAGTAGTTTGGTCTGAAAGGAAACAACAAGCTACAAACCCAGCATAAAAAAAATGGAAATAGGGCAGGATGTGGAACTCAAATTCAGAGCTCTGTTGAATTACCAAAGGAATTCATATCTATTACCTGATTACAGGAAGCATCAGATAATCACCCCAAGACACAACTCCACTTCCAAACCATTTTTCCACTTGGATTGATTTCCTTGAGACTTTGAAAAAAAAGTTCAGAGAAGAGCAACTAAAATGATCAAAGGCCTGGAGACCAAAACATAGGAAGAACAATTGCAGGATTTGGATTTAGCTAGTCTAGAGAAAAGAAGGACTAGGGGTAACATGACAGCAGTATTCCAATATTTGAGGGGCTGCCACAAAGAAGAGGGGGTCAAATTATTCTCCAAAGCACTAGAGGGCAGGACAAGAAACAATGGCTGGAAACTGATCAAAGAGAGAAGCAACCTGGAATTAAGCAGGAACTTCCTAACAGAGGACAATTAACCAGTGGAACAGCTTGCCCTCAGAAATCGTGGGTGCTCAATCATTGGAGGTTTTTAAGAAGAGACTGGACAGCCACTTGTCTGAAATGGCATAGGTTCTCCTGCTTGAGCAGGGGGCTGGACTAGGTCTCTTCCAGCTCTCTTCTATTCCTTCCTCCCTGCCCCCTCAATTAAAAGAAAGATAAGTAAAATAGTAATTCTAAACATTTTTGGTCTGATTTTCCCCATTTAACTAAAGCTAAAGCCAAGGTAAGTAAAGTAATGATTCTACCAACACATAAACTCTTTCATATTATATGACAGTGCACCTTGCTATGCTAGATAATTAAATTTACTTAAAGATCCCATTAATGAAAGAATCACGAGAAATTTATAAGACTGATAATAAATTTAGAGGATTTTTTAAATTTAATTAGGCTCAAGCACACTAGTCATGCTTGACTTTTGAGGATTGCTACATTATTTTCCTTCCTTCCTTCCTTCCTTCCTTCCTTCCTTCCTTCCTTCCTTCCTTCCTTCCTTCCTTCCTTCTTTCCTTCCTTCCTTCCCCTGGGTAATGTAAAACAATGTCTCCAAACATAAGAACCATAAAATCAACCTAAAAACCATAAAACTTAGAGGCTCAGCAAAAGAGTAATGACCAGGTCCAAGGTGCAGTAGCATCCTATGCAACCATCTGCATTTCTTAAGTCTGGTGAAAGATGAAAATCTTCACCTCTTTCCAAAAACAACATCAGAGAAGAGACTGTTCTGACTGGGGCAGAAAGATTGTCCTGTTCTGCTCCAACTTCTCTTCATTTTCTCTTAGCTTGTGACTCGTGCAGGCACCTTAATCGGTCCCAGTGCTTCTCAGTCTTGACAACTTTAAGATGTGTGGATGACCAGCATCGAGGGGGGCAGAATCAAATAAAGCCATAGAGCAGTGGTTCTCAACCTGTGGGTCGGGACCCCATTTGGGGTCCAACGACCATTTCACGGGGGTCGCCAAACAAGTCTGTCCGCCATTTTTTCCCCCTTTTCTTTGGCCACGCCCCTGGCACCCGATGATGTATAAGTGGTTGGGGGTCACCACAACATGAGGAACTGTATTATGGGGTCACGGCATTAGAAGGGTTGAGAACCACTGCCATAGAGGGTGTACTAGTGGAAGGCTAGGGACAAATCACTATAGAGGAAATCTATTTATATGATCACTAAGAGTTTATATCAATTTGATGGTACATAATCAATTGAGCCAACAGGAGGGAAAGCTCTATCCTTAAAGTAAATACTTAGGAAAGGATTCTGAGGGCACAATATTAAAAGGGAAAAATGGTGGGAAAGTAAGTGGGAGTGAGACTAGATCCCTCCTATAAGCTGGCACTACTGGCACCAGTGAGCCCAGGGACTTTTAATACCTGCCCTCCCAGAAGTGAAAGGTCTTGGCTTTTAAGCTGCTAAGCTTCTTAACTTCATATTCACCTTCACCCCCTTCCTTTATCCAAACGTTCCTGTCACAGAAAAGGACTAAGAGCCCAGGTAGGGAAGGCAGCCTGGAAACCGGGCTTAATTTCTCTTAATAAGGCTAATCGGCTGAAAGAGCCACAACAGGTCTCTCTGCTTCCCCTCTTCCCTCCCACCTATCCAAGCTCCTGAAACAATGCTGCATTTATGTGGAGGCCCACATGAGGCCTTGAAATGCAGACTTTTCTGGGGAAGGCAAAACAAGTTTTCCTGATGAAAATGAGCAACCCCTGACCATAAAAGCCAGGCATATTTTCAATTAAACTAGGTTTAAAGGGTGACTGACAGGTGTTTTACTCTACCCAATTGAAGTAGAAACCAAACTCCATTCAGGTGGATGGACAAGGGACATGCTTGTGTGACAAGAGAGAGGGCAAAGGGAGGTAAATGCCATCTTTCTGTCTGTGTCTGTCTGTCTGCCTTATCTCTCTCTCTTCACACACAACACACACATCTGTCTGTCTGTCTGTCTATCTATCATCTATATCATCTATCTATCTGCCTATCCATCTATCCATCCATTTATTATTTATCCATCAATTATCTATCTAATTTCCTTTGAAGAAAATAGCTGCTAATCAAGTTAGGTCTTTTATTGTTTTGGTTAATTTTCTCACTGTAATATAGCATTTTTGAGCATCATTGTTTGAGAAAGTGCTGGTCTCTGAAATATTGGAAATAATATTTGGATTCATTGCTCCCTAGTTTCCAACCATCTTTTCAGATTAAAATAGCTTTGGTATCCCTACCACAGTCTCTTCTAATGTAAATATGTTAGGAGTATCCACCATCTGAACTGTCAATTTGGATAGTGTGGTCCCACTATAGTGGAAAAAAATACACTTTAGCTGATGCTGCTGGATCTTTTAGCAATTTCCAGTCCTTTAAGATACTTTTGAACTTCTCCTGAAGCTAGGACATGACATTTCTGGTGATTCAAATCATTTCTGGAGGGGCAGTTTCAGACAAAGGGACTGGAGGATCTCTTGTGTCATGTCTCAAAGTTTCATCATGTCTCGCTTCCTTTAATTTCAGTATCTATGAATTTGTTGTGAGAAATTCCCAACAAGTGTCGCCCCTTCTCTGCTTGCAATTAATAGAGAACAGTGAAAATTCTGCAGCAGGGTTTTGGATGGGTGAGAGTAGTCCTCAATTTATGACCACAGTTAGGACCAGAATTTCCATCACTAAGCAAGACAATTAAGTGTGTCAGTCTGATTCTATAACATTTTTGCTGTGGTTAAGTGAATCACTGCAGCTGATAATTAAATCACATGAACATTAACTGAATCCAGCTTCCCCCGTTGACTTTGTTTGTCAGAAACTGACTAGGAAAGTTGCAGAGGAAGATCACATGACCCTGGGATGCTGCAACCATTGTAAATACATGCTGGTTGCCAAGCATCCAAATTTTGATCATGTGACCATGCAGATGTTGCAATGATCTTAAGTGCAAAGACCAGTTGTAAGTCACTTTTTCAGAGCTGTTGTAACTTCAAATGGTTGTAAGTCTGTAATGGAAGTTAACCTAGGTATGAAAACAATGGTGGGTTAGGAAGACTACTGAGCTGAATGGATGACTATTTATACTTGGTTTTGGTTAGGATTGTACTGACGGTGACTAAGCTTACAGTTTAGGGCAGGGGTGTTAAGCTGCCAGCCTGCGGCCAGATGCATCATGCCAAAATCACACCCACCCCAGCTCCGGCAATGGGAAAAAAGTCGCAATACGTTACAACACGTCACGTGACGTTGCGAGTTTGACACCCCTGGTTTAGAGACATAGATAAGATCAATATTTTGCTATGTGTCCTGATACATATTTCTATTATGCCAGGGCACTAATGCCATCCTATCATAAGAGTACGTGGGAGAGAGATGCTCCATCATCCATTTATCTTTTTTCTAAATTTGTGGCCTCAGTGTGGCATTGTAGAGAGTAAGGAAGACAAAAGTATGTGAGGACTGCTACTTAGGCAAAAGGGGCTGAAACATTTTTTAAGTCTAGAGCAGGGGTGTCAAATTGCCGGCCCGTGGGCTGGACGCATCATGAGGAAACCGCACTCACCCCATTGCCAGCAATGGGGTTAAAGCTCTGATACGTCACGCGACATCACATGACATTGCGAGTTTGACATGTCTGGTCTAGAGCAATGAAATAACAGATGGAAGAGGCAGAACGTGGTTCTTTCGCCTCTCTGAAGCTATTTCTGCCCAATGTCTTCTCATATCTATCTGTAATTCACATTATTTTTAATTTAGGAGATGCCCAGTAGAATGTTGACGCCTAGGGAACTCCAAGCAGAGGCCATAAAGTCAGACTCTATTTCTGGCAACAGTGGAGGTTTTCCCTGCTGATAAATGCGGTGCTGAAGATGGATGGCAGCAAAACTGGAGGAGAAAACTCAGCACTTCTCTTGCCTATAATCAGTGGCACACTTGCACCAGTCATGGCAACCGTACATGGCAATTACTCTGAGGCAGAGCTAGAATTAGCAAGGGAGATAGCAAATATTAGGTGAGGATTGTCTCATGGAGAGAAGGCACGAATAGCACTTAAACTGTATACCAGAGAAAAGCCAATAGCTATTTTAACTGAAGAGCCTGAATTGACTCAGGGTAATATTCTAGGGGCTAATTATTATAGTTGCCAACTCATCCACTCCAGCAATGGGCTCAGGCAGGAGATTTACCCAAAAAATAATAACCCATCAACTGCAAGACCTTTTGGCTGTTAGCCTGTGCTGCCACCCGGTGGCTATTAGCTCAAACACCAGACAAGGAGCGTGGAAGTCAGCTCTGCTAGGCAGTGGTCAATATGGCACCTCTTTTTCAAAGATATACCAACATTATTGACATTAAAATTATTAAGATTAAATGTTGAAATATTACTTTGATAATATTGGGTAAAATTTTCAACTTAGTTTTTCCATGGAAAAATGCTCTCATTTTTCATATTCGTACAAACCTTGAAGTTGTACCAAAGCTAACTTTCCTTGCATGTGTGGCTGGTGCAGTGTTAGTTAAATTCACACAAGCATGAAAAAATCGGAATTGACAATACAGGATTAAATTATAGTAAAATAAAAATTACTAGTAAAATGTGTCTATTTGGCAAATAGATTTTTATCCCATGCATTTGCATAATTTTGATTCTTTAGGTATCTTTAAAACATAAAATTATTTCCAGTCTTAACAAGGGCTAAGCTTCCCCAAGCAACATATAGACAGGAAGTCCACACCACTGACTAGAAAGATTCACCCCCAGAAAAGATCCCTCGTCTGTAACATCTTGGCAGGATCCATCCACATGGGGATTTAAGTGATCTCAAAGGTGCATCAGTCTATTGGATTCCCACATTAGTACCAGGTTGAGCAGCCAAGCCAGGTTCCTTCAGCTTCACTAAACAAAATTATAACAAAACGTCTGTTTTGTTTCCTTGAAACATGTGTGTAGCCTAGTTTCTTGTTGATTAAAACTCTCACCAACCCATGTTTTCCAGTTCCTCAGCTCTCCTCCTGTTCCCTGGAGCTGGTTATCTTTTCATTAGGATTCAGGATGGCCTGTGACCATTTGCCCTGTGCAACAAGGAGGCCAGCAAGGACAGGCGGTGGGAGTGGGGGGGGGAGGCAGCATCAGCAAGAGTATTGGCTACCCACTTCTTGTTCAACCTGCAGCTTTTGGGCAACCAGGTTGTTTTGTAAATTTGAATCTAATGGGTTGGGAAGTGTAAAACGTAGTGGTGTAAAATGCCTTTAGTTATTTACCCTTGTACTAATCCTTAAATAGATTTGCAAGTACAAGTTGGAGTATCAAATTTGGGAGCATGCCAGATTGGGAATGTCTGAAGTAATTGTCTTGAAAGAAAAATACAACCCAAAATAATAGAGGTAGTGAAAAGAAGAGTTAGGGTGGATTGATCTAGACAGTGTCTCCTCCTGCCACATTTCTGAGATGTAAAAACAAAATCCAACCAATCACTTCAGAATTTTTTTCATCTTTAATTTAAGATATAAGCTGTACAATTCAATTGAAAAACAAATTAATGAAGGAAAATATTTGTAGCTCAGAGTTGAAATGAGGGGTCCTTGGTGCTCGCTGAGCTTGCTTGTTTTCTTGCAGACGTTTCATTACTCTAACTAGGTAACATTATCAGTGCTAGTAGGGAGTGCTGTTTGCTGTCAGTTTATATTCTGGGGTCTTGCCTGTCTGTGTGGGTGGGGGTGGTCTTAGGGATTCTTTGGTTGAGCTGTTTACTAATGGCTCTTTGCAGTTTCTTGACTGGGCTATTGCTTACTTGCTTGTTGGTCTGAAGTTGACCTTGGAGCTAATCTATGCTGATCTGAGTGCTGATTACTGGTGGAGAAATGCTGGAGTTCTTTCCCCTTTGGGGCTGGTTGATGTTTTTTGCACAGTCTATAGATGTTGTTAATGTCTATGTGTCTATTGATGGCTGATTTCTCAGAGTGTCAGGCTTCTAGATATTCCCTGGCATTTTTGGATTTGGCCTGTTCTAGGACTGTCACATTTCCCCCAATTGAAACTATGGTTAAATCTGTCTATATGTTGTGAAATTAAAAAAAATTCATCATGCCTTTTGACTGCCAGTTGGTGTTCATGAGTATGTTCTGCCAGTCTTCTGCCTGTTTGTCCTAAGTAGTGGTTGTTACAGTTTTTACACTGTATGTTGTACATAGATGACTCCTGGTTTTTTTCTCCTGGAGTTTGGTTTGCTTAGGATGTTTTGAAGGGCTTTAGTTGGCTTGTGTGCTATGCTGATTCCGTGTGGTTGTAGCAGTCTATTTGCGGTTTCTGAGATATTCTTGATATATGGCAGTGCAATTCTTTTTAGGGTTTGTGTTGGTTGTGCTGTATTGGGTTGAGTGGTCAAGGACTTTTTGATGAAGTTGCGTGGGTATCCATTTTGTTGGAATGTGTTGTATAGATGCTCCATTTCCTTTTTTTGCTGTTCTGAGTTGCTGCAGTGTGTTTGGACTCGCTTAAATAAAGTCCTTACACAGCTTCTCTTGTGGGAGGTGGAATTGTTGCTTTGGTAGTGGAGCACCTGGTTAGTATAGGTGTAGACTTGCATTTCTAGTTTGCCATTGTGGTCTCTGCTGATCAGGATGTCCAGAAAGGATAGCGAGTTGTTGTTTTCTTCTTCTCTGGATTCCTTTACAATGTTATTGATGGTTCTGTGGGTGTTCTCTAATTGTTCCTTTTTTATTATGGTGAAGGTGTCATCTACATATCTGATGCATATTTTCAGTTGTATTTGTGGAAGTGCTATGGCTTCTAGACATTGCATGACAATCTCCACTCTAAGTCCTGAAAGCGATGATCCCATAAGTATCCCTTTAATTTGTTGGTAAATTTGACCATCAAATTGGAAGTATGTAGTTAAGCAGAGGTTTATGAGATCCATAATCCTGGGTGTTTTGATCCTTATGTATTCAATTAAGTCAGGTGTGCTATGAAGCAACGCAGTCATGGATTCTTTGGCTAATTCTGGATCTATAGATGTGAACAAGGCTATGACATCAAATGAAACCATGATTTCATCCTCATCTATAGTCACATCCCTCATTGTTTGAAGACACTGTAGTGGAAAGTTATGGAGTGTGGGCTTTCTCTTGTGAGAGGAGACAGACAAGATAAAAGAATATAAACAGACCACAGAACAGCACTCCCTACCAGCACTGATGATGTTACCTAATTAGGGTAATGAAATGTCTGCAAGAAAACAAACAAGCTTGGAAAATAAACTGAAATCTTTTAGAGGAAAAAATAACAATAAAAATGAACAATAACATGGTTGCATAAGACTTATGGTGAAATTATCTTCATCAGATGATTGGTGCTGATCGATCATTAGTAATAGTCGGACGCAGTTTGACGGTGGCAAATGGGTTGGTACCTCTAAAAGGATAAAAAGAAAATAAATTCAGTCACTGGGGCCATCTTAAAACAGAAGATAATGTCACATCTTCAGGTTGTCAAGTTTGAAAAATGCTGCACTAAAGTGTAAGAAATGTATCAGTGACCCAGTCTTCCTGGAGACCGCTGTGGCTTTTATAAACCAGCTGGCTGTAAAATGCTCATAAGTGCTCAAGGTTTTCCTGATGCATATTTAGAATAAGATAACAGTTGAAAGGGACCTTGGAGATCTTCTAGTCCAACCCCCTGCTCAGGCAGGACCTTATACTATTTCAGACAAATGTTGTTGTCTTAAAAACCTCCAGTGATGGAGCACCCATAACTTCTGAAGGCAAGCCATTCCATTGATTAATTGTTCTCACTGATAGGAAATTTCTCCTTATTTCTAGATTGGTTCTCTATTACGCTTCCATCTGTTACTTCTTGTCCTGCCTTCAGTGCTTTGGAGAATAGATTGACCTCTTTTTTGTGGCAGCCTCTCAAATATTGGAACATTGCTATCATGTCAACCGTGTCTCTTTTCAACACCCCAAAGTTCTTAGGCTAGAGAATGATCTAACAACAACCGATGTTCTTACCAAGCAAGTCTCAAGCCATTCAATTGTTTAGAAAACAGGTGAAAGTGGTTCTGCTTATTTTTTACAAAAGAAAACCCACAACATAAAATTATAACGTATACATATACAAAACAATGGTACATTTGATCTTGCCTATTCTTTCAATGGAGTGCAAAACATGACATATAAATCTTCTACAATGCAATCCTATAGCCATGGTACAGTACCCTTCATCCAGCAGCTTTCAAGAGAGTGAACAAATATAATAAATAGTTATGCCAAGAAGTATTAAAACCACAGCAAAACCATAGCCTTAATAGGACAGAAGATAAAAATATATAGCAGGCTAAGTCTGAGCAGGCTAATTAAAAAAACTCATTTAAAAAAAGGCTTAATACAATCCAAAAAGACTAAAAGTGGGGCCAGGACACTTATTTTAAGGAGGGTGATCCCTAAATGAAGTATGAGGCTAATTGTTCTGTTGCAGGCCACTTTCATTTTAGAAGGAACTTGGAGACGATCTTCAGTAGATCAGGGTGAACGGGAGGATGCAGGGAGAGGGGATCCATGAAGGGTTTGGATGTTGTAGAAAGATAATTGTGACATGCCGATAGTATTATAAGGCTGGGACAGAGCCAGCTCTCTCATTAGGTAGATTAAAGCAGCTATTTCAGGCAGCAAGATATAGGTGCTTCCAGCTACCAAAGACTAGACAGCCACGAGGTGGCAGCAGAGAATTACACAAAAATGTTGGCTTCATTCTAATGGCCATCCAGAGTTTAGCACTCCAGAGCAGGCAACCTTTACTTAAAAGACAGAATGTTTGTGAGATTTTTCATTTATTCTTAATAAAATGTTGTTGCTAGATGAAGGGAGAAAGACATGTGGAAATTTTAATTTTTAATTTATTTTTTTGCCTCTTTTCTGCCTTGGATCATAGCCCCATCTTTTGCTTCACTTTCAAATAGCAAAATGACTTGCACCAGTCAAGTTCTGAAATAGTTCATCAAAACTAACATAAAATTAGTTTGCAAAATGAAGCTATGGTTTTTCATTAAATAGACATTGCTGCAATTTGGTTGACCTGAACAAGTCTTCTGCATGTGTACTCAATCTCTCCATTCCTCCCTTTTTGAAACAAGCCAAGATATTAAACCGATTTTATCTAAATAAATAATAAGTTAGAATGATCTAAATCAGGGGTAGTCAACCTTGGCTCTTTTAGGACTCGTGGACTTCAGCTCCCAGAATTCCTGAGCCAGCACAGCTGGCTCAGGAATTCTGGGAGTTGAAGTCCACGAGTCCTAAAAGAGCCAAGGTTGACTACCTCAATCTAAACCCTGGTTTACTTCAAAGTAATTGCATTTGCAATAGTATGAAGGCAGAATTTTTAACCATCCTCAGATATAAAAAGTGTACTTAGGAAGATGGCTTTTATTTCTTGAGTCTTAATAAATGACTCAAGTAAAAAATGGACAGCATTGATTCACACTCAAATTTAGAGAAAATGTACCTGGGGAAGAGCTCTGGAGGATGATCCCATCTTGCTGGCTTCTGCAATAAATCAAAAGTATGGTAAAGCTGGGAGGAAATCCCCTTATAAATATTCAGAAGAGAAAAAAGCATGAACACAGCAAATGCATACACGCATATGACTCCAGAACTGCTTTTCTAGGAGGCCAGTCTATTTTTGGCTCAAAGAATCCGCAATATGACTCTCTCCCTAGAACTGATTTATCACACACTTTGCTCAAGCCATCTTCATTTCCAGCTGTCTGGCAAATGAACAGCCCACATCTCCAATCCACCTAAGCCAGGGGTGTCAAACTCAATTTCATTGAGGGCCGCATCAGCATTGTGATTGCCCTCAGGGGGCCGGGTGGGTGTGGCCAGGGTGAGTGCGGCCTGCTGGGTGGGCGTGGATGGAGTAGGTGTGGCCTACTGGGTGGGCATGGACAGCTCTACATTGTTTGCGTCAAGGGTGCCTGTAGGGGCCTGGGCAGGAATGGGACAGATCTGAGGGTCTCTGGCAGAAGGGGATGGGACCGGGGCAAGCGCCAAGGCATGGTCTATTTCTTCATTCCTCACAAAGGGTGACACCTCCCCAGCATGCACCTGGGGGGCGGGGCCGAGACGGCAGGGGCTGGTTCCTCGCTGTTTCTAGATGGCCTTGTGGAGCTAAGACTGAATGCGTTTCAGCATAGATGGCCACCACAAAATTGTACATTGGCTCCTGGCTGGCCTGGGCCAAGGCCAAGGCAGCGGGGGCCGTTCCCTCACTGTTTCCAGAATGGCTTCGTGGGCCACATGAAACCACTTCGCGGGCCGCATCCAGCCCCCGGGCCTTGTGTTTGACATGTCTGACCTAAGCCCCAGCTTTAGGACCATGGGACCTTTCTCGAGTAGAAAGGTGACCTTCCTCATCTTTGGAAAGATGTAGAGCGCTTTTTAAAGGAAGGAGAAAACTGGTCTTTAATTTTCTAAGGCCACTTCCACACCATCATATGGAAGAAGGAAATAAAAATAATTACTTGGACACACCTGCCCGATCCATTTTCTTGTTTTGTGTACATCTGGCAATTCATGTGGAAAAACAAACAAAAACCCCAGCTGTTCTTAAAAGGGGAATACAAAGGCACAAAGGACCCTTTCTCCTTGAAAGACATGTAGACAGGAGGATGGGACACAGTAAAGCAGGAATTTCTGGATGGTGTGCAAACTTCACATGGGCTTGGTATTTTTTAAATGACAGATTAAATTAAGGATGGTTTCACATACAACACAGGTGAGCCAGAAACATTGGCTTGTCATGTGGAGAGATTTGGTTATGTGAGCAACTTCCTTCTTGTTTTTCGCTTTGTTGAGATGCATATACACACTTCAGAAAAACTCACTACACCCAAGGATATGTTCACATGAACAGCACTGGATACTTTGGTAATGGCTTTTCCAATGTGTGCACTGAAGATTTTGGGCTTCTTTCAATTTTATACAATATACATAATTTGTGTAGTGTAATACTTTTTGTGCTTAAGTACGTTTTGGACCTGTAAAACCTATTGTTATTTAAATATATTGCAAGCTGCCCATTCCAGAAGAATAGGTGGTTTTAATCAGATTGCTCCTTCTTGGACAACTGCTTTTCAAGGTCTTACAGCTGCAATGTTTTCCAGCTTTGCTGCTGGCATGTCTTTTAATAGATATTCCTTGACTAAAAAGCTGTATAAGGAAATATAAATCCTCTTTTCAGAACTTGCAAAGTTTTAAAATGTGTTCACTGTGATGTCTGAACAGGAAAGGTGACCTTTTCATTTTTAAGAGAGAAGCGCTTGTCTATGGAGTGTTCACTTATGCTAAGATGGAAACAGAAAAGTCTGATGTGTTCCTTCCATCATACACGTTAGATGAAGTTATCTGAAGAAATCACAGAATTCCTTTAACGATCCGATGAGCATATTCATGGGGTCAAACTGCACATGAGTCTAAATGCATCACTTTCAGATCCATGGATCAGTGTTGAATTCTAAACAGCAGGTGAGAAGGATGACACAGCCCATGATGGGTAAGGCATGGCCTTCCTTGTGATCCCAAGAAAAATTACCCACAGAAGCACTTGCAAGTCCTGGAGAAAAGCGCTCAATGTGGGCAATGTAAACTCCTCTTTTAAAGAAAAAAGTGAGTACCCAAACTTTGAGGAACCCAAGATGTATTTTATGATCACATCCTAGGTGGAGTGGAGTTGCCCATTTACATAGTAGCCATCAGTGGGATCAGTCATAAACTGTTTTTTAGAAGGAAAAGCTTTGAAGATGTTTCCTATCAATATCCCAGTGTTTCTCAACCTTGGCAACTTGAACATGTATGGACTCCAATTCCCAGAATTCTCCAGCCAGCATGCTAGGAGTTGAAGTCCCTACATCTTCAAGCTGCCAAAGTTGAGAAATATTACTCTAGACCACCAACTAACGTTCTACTCTCTGTGGTTTCCAGCCATAATGGAGTGTAAAATAGATAGTTCAAATGTTGCTTTCCTCATGTCAGAGTTAAAGAATATTGAAGCACATTTTTTAAACCATTCGTGTGAACACAGCCTAATTCTCAATCCACAGCAAACAGTAAACAAAAACACTGTTTTTCATTTCTAGAGGCAGGGACCACCATAAAACTAGCATTGTTTTATAAATCAAACCCCTTTGGAAGAGGTACCCCAAAGTGCCCAACCCAGAAAGAAAGCCAAGGAAGAGACATCTTCCCAGCTGGCCCATTCCCATCACCACCATCCCAGTCCATGTTCACCACTCAAGGGTCCTACTGTTAGCAGAAAGAGCTGCTGCCCCGAAGCCACCAGAAATCAGGCTGGGATGTCATGGAGAAGAGGAGAGAACTGAAGGGACCCTAAGAAGGGAAAGAGAAGTGACTGAGATTCTCCTGGTCGGGCAGAAGAGCAGAGGACCAAAATTGATATGGATGAGTTGCAAGGAAGGATAGGTTATTATGCTTCTACACAAAAAAGGAAGGAGAACAACAGCTCCAAAGAAGACTGAAAACTTCCTCATAGTAGGGACTGTAAATTAATCTATCAAGAGGAATTGGAGAAGTTGTGGGAGGCTACAGTGAGACTATGATAGACAGAGTTCACTGGGTATGAAAAGGGAAATTCCTTAACCATTTGGGGTCAAACTAGGTGTGATTTTGGGAACACAACCAACATGCAAGATTTGTCCCTTCGTGGAAATAGCAGCTTTAAGAAAGTAATTTTCATTTTAGACCACAGCAAGGAGTAACTAATAAACTCTGCCTTCCCACCTCTTCCATGCCTGCTACTTCTTGTGGGACCATTGTGTGGGGGTGTTCTCCCTGCAAGTATTAATTGTGTTTTCAATAAATGCCCATGTTTATTGTCTTCAGTGCAATGGGTATTTTATGCATTGGGTCCAATAAAGAGATCATATTAAAATATTATTTTAAGGCAGTCGCTCTCTTTGCCTCAATTGGTGGGGTTCATAATCTAATTGGCTATCTTATATCCCTCCCAAGCCTGATCTTCAGTTTAATTGCAGGCATGCCAGTGAGTATATGTTATAACACCACTTTACAACCTTTGGGATATGATCAGGCATCACTTGCTGTGCCCTCAAACTCTGGAAGTACTTTATCCTGAACTGGATACTTAGTTACTGCCCCACTTTCACTCCCGGGCAGACAGGCATGCCACATACAGTAGATGAGTAATTATTTTTGTACACCAAACTCTACTAAATGTGCAACTACATCCTTTGATACATGGCCTAATTTCTACTCGTGCATCTCTAATCTCTAATAAGTAACATCTAACATCTCTAATAGCTAATATGGGCTGATCAGAAATGATTAGGTCTACCTTACCCACCCGCTTCTTCCTGTAGGAGAGCACAAGGAAGGGCCAGTAAAAACATTTCCCATCATAAGCTATTTGTCCCCAGCAAGACCTTGTCTTGCTCAAAGGTTTGCCCTACTCAGACTCATAATCATCATCAAGCTGCAGAGCTGTTTGCTGCTGGAGGGAGAAGTAAACAATAGGAGGCTATTTTTTTTACAATACAGTGGCTGCCAAAAACACCTACTCCGATTTAGGACTATTCAAAAATGTTGCCCAGATTGTGTTTATTTTCCATAATGTTGTGCTCCAATTTTAAAAAAAATGTGGGTGACCATATGATTGTCCTTATTTACAATGCAGCTGCCACTGGATTGGTTCTAGCACATTTTAAATAATCATAGGAAATCATATGATCTGACCACAAGCCAACTCTTCCACTGTATCAAACAGTGAAAGAAAGATCTCTATGGAATAAGCTTCTCCAACCTGGTGTTGGAGCCAAACTACCAGAGTTTCCAACCAGGATGCATTTTAACTCTTTTGGAAGGCCAGGTTGAGGATGTCTGCTGCAAACCATCATCCATCCAAATTTACTGATCTATGAATAAATCTGGAGTGCTGAAAAGATCCTCAAATACTACTCATTAATGTACAACTTTACCTTGGAGCCCATGCTGGGAGTTGCAGCATTAGATATGCTGTTTGGAAGACTGCCTGCTCTCACCGAAGACAGAGAAGATACCGGAGACTGAGGCCTACTGGATTTCTGCCAATAATCATCTGGCACTGAAGCAGTAGACTGACCTAGAAGATTGTCCACACTACGGCTGCTCCTCAGGGAGAAACCTCTAAGCAAGAAAGGAGAAAAAAGTTGACAAGGAAATGAGTAAACATACCATTTTATTTGGTCTTAGCCTCCAAACATCCTGCCACTTAACTGCAATATACCTATTTCTCTTCCTTCATTCCCTTATTGTATCATCACAAAGTTAATATGCAGTAATCTGTACAAGTTAATATGCAGTAATCTGCAATTGGAAATAGTTTTAGGACTGAGGGAAGATTTGAACCTGAACACTCCCAGTATTAGGTTATGGTTCTATAATACTCCATGTTGGTCAAACCTTTCCCAGTTTACCCCCTTTCCCACACTACACTTTAGCCAAGATTTGAAGCTTACTGTATCTCATTCTGGAGTGAATGTCAGTTTGAATTTGCACAAGCTGGCATCTGAAATGGGCTTGGTTACAAATTCCATTTTGTGTCAACTCAACGGAGTGGAAACTTCATATTGAAGTGGTATAGCAATACATGAAAAGAGATAAGACAGCTACTCATTCAAGCTCATTAGCCAGGTTTTCTTAATCTAACGTGTCTCCTAAACTTCACCACATACACAATTCAGGCTGGGAGTACCGTACCTGGGGGCTGATGCCTCCAAAGACTTTACAAAAGCTTCAGGAAACCAGCCACTTCTGAAATCAAAGGCACAAGGCAGGAGTCACTTTTGATGTGGAACCAGGAGAAAATTTGGACATAAATTTACATTAAAATTGAATTACAAAAATAAAATTTATATTCTTTTTTATGTCTTATACAATGCTGAAATAGCAAATCTATATGATAGTATAGTATATCTATATGATTTTTAAAGCAAAATTTTAACTTAGGCTTTTAGGGCAAGAGGGACAATTTTGAGCTAAGCTTTTGAAATTTTTTTAATGCTATAAAGTTCCAGAATTTTCAAAAATATAATTTGACTCACCATTGTTTTACATACAAAAACACTAATTGTTTTGATAAAGCAGAATAACATAATAACAGAGTTGGAGGGGACCTTGGAGGTCTCCTAGTCCAACCCCCTGCTCAAGCAAGAAATCCTATACCATTTCAGACAAATGGTTGTCTAATCTCTTCTTAAAAACTTCCAGTGTTGGAGCATTCAGAACTTCTGGAGGCAGGTTGCTCCACTGATTAATTGTTCTGTTTAGAAATTTCTCCTTAGTTCTAGGTTGGTTCTCTCCTTGATTAATTTCCATCCATTGCCTCTTGTCCTACCTAAAGGTGCTCTGGAGACTAGGTTCAACCCCCCTCTTCTTTGTGGCAGCCCCTTAGACATTGAAACACTGCTATCATATCACCCCTAATCCTTCTTTTCATTAAGCAACAAATAAAATTAAATAAAATGTAATTATATTTAATAATTTCAGCCTTCTGTCCCATTACCAATTACTGCATAGTGGCTACCTTGTGAGGAGATCTGGAAGCTGCATCAAAGTTTACCATCTGCCACCCAATCCCACCTGGCAAAAATAAATCTGCTCAGACTTACATTGATGTGCCTTCCAACTTGCCATACAGCCAGCCATTCTGAGCTTCTGGTAGGAGGACAGTAACCACATCTCCAGTGCCAAATGGCAAAAGAGTCTGGTTTGAACCTGTGACATGAGGCACAATTGCTAGCACTTTGAGCAGATGGTTCCCCTCTTTACTATCAGCCTCTGCCCTCATTGTTGCTTGTTCTCCGAAGGAGTTGGAGCGAGAAAGACCAGGAGAAGCAGAGCCTGTGACATATGAGAGACCAAAATTCTTCATTAACTTACTCTGCTGCAGCAAAGTCCCACTATTGCTCCAAAAGAGACCCAAATTCCATAATGATTGGTTCATAAGATGCCACCTGAGGCAAATCTGTTTCTGTCTTCCTTACTTTCTGCCCCAGAAGTTAAATGAGTTCCATCTCTGTTAATCCAGGACATTCTCAAGACTTGGTTATGCCAACAGACTTGGGGATCCTAGAGAACCAGAGACATTAGAGGTGGCTTCCCTATTGTGGGTGATATGTGGTTGCTGTACTTATTCCTCTCTTTGTGGTTTTTATACTCTATTTTCTTTTTAAAAATGATAATGCTTGTCCATAATTTTATAATGATTGTTTTTATGATTGATTTTATATTGTTGCTTTATTTGATTACTGTGTGCAGCCCAGAGTCCTCTGATGAGATGGGCAGCTACTGTATGTAAATTTGATAAGTAAGTAAGTACAATTCATTTGTCACAATTGCTTTAATTATATTTATTTTTATGTAATCCCAAATTGCTTTATTTGATCCTCACAATAATGCTGTAAGGTAATTTACATCCTGACAGACTGACTAGAATAAATACAAATGTCCATTATTTCACTCACAACAGGCATCTGTAGCAAACATGTCTTAGCAGAGATTCTTAATCCCTTAATCCCTACATTATCCCTTTACAGTTTTACCAAGTGAGGGAGTTCTTGGCATTGTTTTCCTTTTTGTTTCTGGCTGAAAGGATGGCACCATCTGTACAGTCTCCTGGGAGAAGCTCTGTCCTGCCATGGGTGGACCAAAATCACTTGGCAGCCTCTGGAGTTATAGCAAAAGAAGGACAGCAAGAGTGAATCCTTCCAGAAAAGCATTCAAGAAAGCAAGTTCCAATTGCAGTGACTGAGATACTCTTACACACAAAATTGCCATATCTTCTGTTGGTCTGGACTAGGAGGTTTAGGCCCACCATTTCCTTTATGTTCTTCAATTATTTTAAAGATATTTAAATTATAATTTAAAATTAAATGATTGTTAACTAATATAATTAATATATAATTTAAATTGAATTATGCATATACTTCTCCATTAGTGCCGGAAAAATAAATTCCCTATTCCACGCGTGCCAGAGGTGGCACTTGGAGCCCTCTCTGTGGGCACACGTGCCATTGCCCCAGCTTCACCTCGCCCCATGACCCCACCAGCAGCCCCCCTGGAGGAGAGTCGCCCTGAAATGTGGCCCACACAGAGCAGCGCAGCCAAGGACATGGCAGTCAGGCAGCGTAGACAAGACTCTGCCCTCATGCCCCATCCTGCACAGTTGATGCTGCGGGGCGCGGGCAGAGTGCGTGGCCATGGCACTGCTGGGCTGCCTGGGCGATCTGCGGTGGGCCCTGGAGACAGTGAGTGGCCTTGCGGGCAGGTGGGGTGGGGGATAGGGGGGCAGGGGTAGGGGGTGGAGGGGTCGGGGCCAGTTTTGGGGCACTCGGTCTCTAAAAGGTTCGCCATCACTGCCCTATTCTTTTTTAACAATTCTACAAATACCAAGATAGAAAATTAGGATGCACAGTCATATATAGTAAGCAAGGTTTAGAAAATGGATCAATGAGAAAACAGGATGTGAAGATTATTATTTCTTTCAGTACAGGAAACTCCTAACTCTACTAGGATATGGCTAAATCTAGTACAATATCACCAAATAACGAACTACAAAGTGATTTTGCTCACCCTTTTATTGCTACAGTTGCTACTTGGTTGTCTAAATATCATCTAAGTAAAATGAGCTTATAAAATATAAACTTATAATTTAATAATTAACACGGTTACATGTGCAAAAAGGTACTATAATTCATTTGTATGTCTAAAAGCTACATTTGTAAATATGTATTTGGGAAAGAACCAAGAAGCTCAGGAGCATCAACAGCATTTGTATGTGTGCATTATATCTCTCTCCCCCTACTATATCCCAATAAAAGAAATATAAATGAACATTAAAAATGTGTATGTGATCACAGAGCAATACGCATATAACTCTTGCCTAATTTACTCTTTTATATTTCTGTCTCATTGTCAATTGAATTCCTATGCAACAATTTGTGTGGGTAAAAAAAATACTGAAAAGCAATGAAATGAAAAGCCTCATTTCTCAACACTATCCCTCATTTGCTTTGTACCTAATATCCTGAAAAAATAATTTAGAGTTAGAGTTCAATTTTTTTCAGTTGCTGCGGAGTTACCATGCATTCCTACAGTATTATTCTTAACCACTTTTGGTTGAGGCTGAGAAAAGCAGTGACCTAACAGAAGAACCTACATACAACTAGATGTAGATACTTCAAGGAAGCATAAAGCAAGTTTTAAAGCTGGCTGCCTCCTTGCTGGATTAAGAGACTTATCCAAAGCCCCCCTTTGGGAACCTCAGCTCCCTTGACCCCTGACCTACTGCTCCCCTTGAATCAACTGTCAAGCAACTTATATTTTCAGGAGGAAAGGAGCACACTAATATCCACACTAACCATAATTTCATATCATGTTTTCTCCAAACCATCTATTTTCTGTATGTGAAACATTCTAAGCATTTTTATTAGTCCAATAATCATTTGGTTTTATAGGTTCTTCCTCTTTTTAAGATATGCTAATAAAATTGCACAGACTGTAATATCCTGAAGATTTTGAGGGCTATAGACCAGTGGTTCTTAACCTGGGCGATATTGCCCCCCAGGGGGCGATTTCATTTTTCAGGGGGGCGATGGAACAAAAAGGGTTAATGCGGGGGGCAAAGGAACAAAAAGGGGGTGATATGAGGGCGATGGAGCGAGAAGTTTTGGGGACACTTTTGAGACTTTTTCGTACAGTGAATCGCTGTATATCTGTCATACAAAAACATCAGAATGAATTGAATTGTGTTTTCAAATGTTCCTCCAGCTAGCTTCAGTACAGAATGCTGTACATATGTAAAGACACATCGCTTATCTTCATGCGCGTTGCGCAGCAGCCTCTACTCATACAGTGGCGCGCCATTGGCCAGAATATGGGAGATATGGGAAAAAGACTGGAAATAAATTATTTGCATCGATATGTCCTGATGACAATTTTAAAGAAAACAAAAAAAGTGTTTGCATAAATTGAAGAATTATTTCCTATGTTGTGATTGAGAGGTTATGTTGGGGGAGGGGGGCGATGACAACTTCCTCATTGGCTCAAGGGGGCGATTCGTTCAAAAAGGTTAAGAACCACTGCTATAGACTACTTTTTAAGTCTCCGACCAATGCATGTCTCCAGACACAAAATTGCTACAAGATTCATTAAATCTTCACAGATTCTGATTCCTCAGCACTTCCATCATATGTGAACATTTTCAGTATCCAAAGTCCCTGATTTCTGAGTGGGCTCGCCGTCTCCTCCACTTCATAATTCATGTTTCTCTCAGTCCCAGCCAAGCCCAGAATAAGCCTTGAAATACAGGTCATTCTCGACTTACAACAGTTCATTTAGTGACCATTCAAAGTTACAACAGCACTGAAAAAAGTGACCGTTTTTCACACAACCATTGCAGCATCCCCGTGGTCACATGATCAAAATTCAGCCACTTGGCAACTGACTCATATTTATGATGGTTGCAGTATACTTGGGGTCATGTGATCATCTTTTGTGACTTTCTGACTAGCAAAGTCAATGGGGAATCCAGATTCACTTACCAACTGTGTTACTGCAGTGGTTCACCTAACAACTCTGGCAGGAAAGATCGTAAAATGGGGCAAAATTCACTTAACAACTGTCTCGCTTAGCAACAGAAATGTTGGGCACAATTGTGGTCATAGGTTGAGGACTTCCTGTAGTATTGTAGTAATATGAAAGCCGCCATGTAACTTTGGCAGGCACTGATGAACTTTTGCATCAGCAGATGAAGCAGATATAATTTCCCAAAGCAATCTGCCCAACTGCACTCACAAAGCACATAAACACAGATACAAGAGGATAAATTCATAGATTGCAAGACAGATGAATGCTTGAAGCTCTTTTTGCCTTTCCTTAAGCTTTGGATTGTCTTTTTATTATTTATCATTTCACAGAAAGTGGGGAGAACTGTGACAAGCATCACATTTGAAATAGAAAGAATGGAGACTGGTTGACTGATTCTCCAATAATTGCTCTGTCTTCTAGTGCAGGGCTTTTCAACCAGTGGTACAGGTACCACCTGTGGTACATTGGCACCTGGCAGGTGGTACGCAACCATCTTAGAAAAGTGGTAGCGGGGGAGGGGAATGAGCTGAACCGGCGCAGCACCACACAAGTCTGAGTGAGAGATGGCTGGAGCTGCAGGGCTGTCAGGGCTCAGCGGAAGCACCAGGATCAGTGCCAGGCTCCAGCTGGAGCTCAGCACTGATCCTGGTGCTTCTGCTGAGCCCTGAAGAAGCACCAATCAGCTGGAAAGCAGCACCGATCCTGGCACTTCTGCTGAGCCCAGAAGAAGCGTTGATCAGGTGGAATGTTGCAGCATCTTCAGGGTCTTGTGATTTACATTCAGATGCTTGGCAACTGATTCATATTTATAACGGTCAGCGTCCCAGGGTCATGTGAAGTGACCAAAAACTACTTCAACCACCCAGCAGATGGGGGGAATAAAAACCAAACACCCCCCACTCCACCTCCACTGCCAATCTTCAACAGAAATGCTCACAACAATGAAAACCTCGGACAGGAGGAAGAGCGCCGCCAAGTGGGCAGGCAGGTATCTTGCTCGGCTGTGGCTTGGGGGGGCACTTTTTTCAATGCCATTGTAACTTTGAACAGTCACTAAGCGAATTGTTGTAAGTCGAGGACTACCTGTACTTTATCACTTTTTTCCTTTTTTGGGGGGGGGGGTCATCAAGTTTTTGACACCTTGCTAGGCGACTGGTGGTACTCAGATATTGCCATATCCTAAAAGTGGTACATTGGTGAAAAGGTTGAAAAGCCCTGTTCTAGTGGCTAAATTGAGCTGGTGTATGAATTGGATGAAGGTGCTGTCTATGAACTGCAGACGTTCTGCACATGGATAAAAACAGGTCCAGGTGCCTCTGAACTGCAGTAGGTGAAGGGAATTGCAGTGAAAGTAGCTGCATAAAAATTCTAGTATTGGGGATTGTTCATATTGATGTGATGTTGGAGACTATGGTCTCCACTCCTTGCTAATTCTATCCTAAAAGTCATTCATTTGAAGCACCCTCCCTTCCCAGAGAGCTCCGTTACTCCACTTTCTCTTACATTTTCAAGGTGAGTAGGAGTGAGACGGCCAGAGGGGGGTGTCTGGCTGGGTGGGGAGTTGAGCACATTCTGCACAGGATTGTGAGAGGCCTCCAATTCCTCTTTCCACAGTGGCGCCTTGTTCAGGATGAAGGTCCGAGCCTTCAGAAGCAAATTAATTAAAACATTAGTTCATCTGAAGACAGGTAAGAGAAAGGAGTCATCAGTTGCAGAGTTTTAATAGGGCTAATAAAAAGAGATTTCAACCGGAATATTACTGTAAAAAGCTGTAGGAGATTTAAAATATTCCAAAATATGCTGTACCAAAAGAACACATTTGAAATGCATTCTTGTTCCATTAAAGTGAGCAGTTCTCCAGGAAGGAGTAGGGTGAGGTTAAAAGGTTGAGGTTAATCACATGGTTATTATGGCCCTCTTGACTTTTTGATCTGCCTGCAGACCCCCTTCAAAGTACTCCAATCTTGAGTGCCCAGGGGCAGAATGGCAGATATAAATGTAAAAATAAATAATATCAGACAATCAATAATGTTAATCTTGTGATTTGTAGGTATCTTTATTTTTATTTTGCACAATGTTTTTTTCTTCTTTTCCTTTCAATTCATTTACCAGGATTCAAAACTTTTGAAGTTACACAGGTTGAAACTCAACAATTTTAGTGACAGACAAGCATTTGCCATCACAAAAAGGGGCTGGAACCTTGTTTTGGAATTAAAAAGTCTGCACTATTTGGCCACTGGGTTCTCCTTCACTTTTTACATTTTAAGCTATTTCACTGTTCCTTGATCCATTTCAAAGAGAACTAGAAGGTCAGCATCATTTAAATATATGGGCTTGGGGTTCTGTCGTGTTAAGACAGTGGTTCTCAACCTTTTTAATGCCGCGACCCCCAACCGGTCGTAAGTCGAGGACTACTCAACCAGTCGTAAGTCGAGGACTACTCAACTGCTGCAGCACCATTTGCAGAATGGGACTTTTGGCGGGCTCAGCAGGGCAGAGACAGCCTGGACAATTCCTATTGGCTTTTGAAAGCCAATAGAATTAGACTCTATTCAAGAGAGTCTATTCTATTGGCTTTCAAAAGCCAATAGAATAAAAGGGAGTAGCACAGCTAAGGAAAAGGGGGAAAAAATTGGCAGACTGCGTTGTTTGGCGACCCCCGTGAAATGGTCGTTCGACCCCAAATGGGGTCCCGACCCACAGGTTGAGAACCACTGTGTTAAGATGTTATCATATCTTCATTCATGCTACAAACATTCCATGCTTGTATTTAACTTAAACAGCATATATTAAGATCCTTGCTCCTTCTCTCTTCCCACCAGAAAATACCATATCCAGGACCTTTTAAAATCAAAATAAAAGTATCTCACATAAAAACCAAGCTATGACAATGCACACATTTGTCTCCATCTCTTCCCCATGTTACATTTGCCTCCCCTACTCCTCACTTTGGTGTAGAACTGGAGAAGAGTATTGGACAGTAACTGGTGCTTCTCAGCCAGGAAGCGATAGCGGCGTTTCTCCTCCAGCTCAGCAGCCTGTTGGCTTTCACTGACGAAAACCTGCAGCTCATTACGCAAATGAATCATGTTCTCCTGGAGTTAAGGAAAGAGAGAAAGGGTGGGGAGAAAAGAAATCCCTGTCAACCAGGTTCTCCAATAGGGAATGTCATTTCAAGATCCCAGGTGTTGTTGAGTTTTTATAGTTGACTGGGCCTTTATAGCAATCATTGAATCATTGCAATGCAAGGTCCATTCCCTTCTGAGATACTTTTTCCACCCAATACCTCCTTTAGACTCAGATTTTATTTATCAGATCACTATCTAGGCCACAGTTCTTCCTCCTGTCTCCCAAGGTTATTCTCACAGTCCATTATATTGCCTGATGTTTGCTTCATAGGGAATAGACTTAGGAGTAGGGCATAGTGACATCCCTGGTGAGGGTGTCCAAAGTCAAGATGGTGACTATGAATAACATATCTACAAAAGTGATAATACACTTGTAGTTGCCATCTTGATTTTTTTTTGAAGCTCTCCTGTGAATCCTCTGGTAGGAATTATGTATGACCTATCTTTGTGGGAAATTGGAGACAGATTTAGACGTGTGTTTACACTGGCATCCTACTGTTTCTCAAAATAACTCAAGGCAACTAACAAGATCCTTTCTTTCTATTTTTTTATTTTGAAAAACAAAGAAGAAAAGAATTCTCAGGAAACAAATTTAGCTTCAAAAAAATCACTAAAGTTTCCTATAGGGATACATCCATCCAGGGCACTTTATGGATGTGGAAATTTAAACCAAAGTCTCTCCATTGTAATCCAATATTCTGGGATTATTCCACTATTTTTGAAGCATTTAGTTTGCCACAGCTGGATCCTCTAGTCTTCTTCCACTTTATACTTTACACCAGACCAGATAGCCTGATTCCTACCTTCAGCTCCCAGACATTTTTATCTCGACGACCCTCCATCCTCCGCAGGTCCATCATGGATTTATCTATACTGGCTACTCTACGTCGGTATTCCTTCTCATATCGTTGGCGACTATCCTATAAGTGAACATGTTTAAAATAAATAAAATCTTTATTGTGGACTCAGAAAAAAAATTAACAGTATAAATATGGTGGTAGCTACAAAGGCTATAGGTATGGCTGGTTAGATTTTCTGGGCATCTAACATCAAGTACCAGCCATTGTGTACACAGCTGTGTGCTTCATGTACAATAAATTGTTTGCTCGGCCCAAGCATTAGTATATTATACATAGCAACTTTAAAAGATAAGAATAATTCAAGGGGCAGAGAACCTACAGTGGCTGTTCAGTAGAGAATAAAGAGAGAAAGCTAAGAAGAAACAGAGAAGGATCAGTCTGGCTCTTACATTAATAAACTGTACATCCAGCTTCGTGTTTTTTTCCATGTGCTGCAATAAATCTACATGGAAGGTCTCTGCCTATTCAAAAAAGAAGGCATTGTCAGAAATCATGTCTTACTCATCTAGCGTGCCTGGGCATTAAAAGGGGATGAGATCAACATTCAGTAGGTAGAGGACATACTTCATCCTTTACATCAGTATCTATTAAGTAAGTATCTCTTACATCAGGCACCTCCAGCTCCTTAATTAGAGCCATGTAGCAAGCATCTTTCTGCCTAACATCCAGAGGACCCACTATTAATCAAGACATAGAACAGCAGCAACTCAGGGATCACATTTGCAATTATGATCAAATAGCATATGCAGTGCACTGAAAATCAGTTGATGACTAATGCTGCTTACAAAAATCAGCAGTGTTGCATGTGAATGTTCTGGATTTTTTGAGCAATCATCTCCTAAATTGCCTGGAGTCTCCCTGGTTTCCTACTTTCCAGTTAAATTCCAAGGGCAGGTATTTAAGGGGGATTCTCATGGGCCTTTTTCAGTAATAGAGCTGCTGTTACAACTCTATTGTTGGAGAGTTTTTTCTTCACTTAGAAAAATATGGAGAAATCATTCGCCCAATGTTCCTTGTGTGTTTCAATAGAGTATGTTGACTTGCAAGGAAGTGTCTAAATTAGAGATACTACCTTGCATTAAAAAAAAAAAAAAACCAAAGGTAAAGGTTTCCCCTGTCCAGTTATGTCCAATTCTAGAGGGCGGTGCTCATCTCCTTTTCTTAGCCAAGGGAACCAGCATTATCTGAAGACACTTCCATGAACATATAGTCAGCATGACTATATGCCAAGGAACACGAAGTGCTGTTACCTACCCACCAAAGCATTACCTATTTACCTACTCACATTTGCGTGCTTTCAAACTGTTAGATGGGCAGGAACTGGGGCAAGAATAGGAGCTCACCCCATCATGTGATACTTGGGTCTTGAATTGCCAACCTTCTAGTCAACAAGCCCAGCATCTTAACCTCTCCTCCACTACCTAGCATAAAATAATGTAAAACTGTACGCCGTGATCAAAACATGTCAAACCTAACTAGAAGGAAAAAAATACATGTAGCATGAGTATTACTAGGACTGGTAACTCAGGTGATACCTCTATCTTACCAAAATAGCAACATGTGAAAACTTTGTTTGGCCAATGCCATGATGGTGGGCCACTGTTTTTGGGTTTACCTAATGATGACTAAAGCATACGGAACTTACAATATAAAAGAAATAACTGGCAAACAGTTATTCTAATGAATGAAATGAGAGAAAAATATTTGTAATTGTATTTGTAAAATTGAGAAAACAGGCAAAGAAATGCAGAGTGATTTTGATGGAAATAATTTTTAAAAATATTACAGAAATGGGTAAAAAGGATTAAACAAGGAGCCTTCAACAAAGGGAATGGAATTCAGAATAGCAATGATGAAATTATTTGGAATAAAACTGAAGGGAGGGAACATTCAGTAGTTCAACACTGAGTGGTAAGTAATATAAGGATGTGTGCATTTTCCTTGGTTATTGAATGTATTTATGAACAAATGACTAAGGACTACTTGCAGGAATGTTAGAGGTATATTAAATGGAAACATGTTTATGAGTGTACTGTATTGTATTCAGGCAACAACATGTTGTTGGCTGAGAATCTCTACATAACCATGTTCAAAACGTTGTGCAAATTAAAAAGCATAATTGTATTTAGTTAGGAATGTAAAGTATTTATTTTCCACCCTTCATCATGAAAGGCTGCTAGACTGGCTTATAAAATAATAAAAAAGAAGATAAGACTCAACCTTTCAAACATGATATTATTTCCTCTTTTTTTAATTGTATGTGTAAATTATCAACCTTTGGCCATTAGTCATGCTAGATGGGGATTAAGTGATCTGAAATGCAATATATCTAGAGGGAACTAGGTTGAGAATACAGTATATAGGACACACATATATGACCAGGCTATAATAGAGATACCTTACGTAACTGTATGCTTCTGCACATCCCCCCCCCCAAATACCTTCCTATAAATAAAATCTGGGTAGCAAGCAACTGAAAGAAAATAAACTCTCTTTTCAGTAATTATTTAGGACAACAGAAAAATATGTTCAAATGGTCACAACTGTAATTGGCAGAACTTTTAGTCATAGTTCTCCTGTCAAAGTAGCAATGATAGCATATTAATAGCAGTTTTTCCAAGATACTTACAACTATTTCCAAGTTGCGGTTCAGATGCATTTGGGTTTCAGACATCTGTATCAAAATTTCACCTTTAGGAGATAAAGAAAAATCATTTAATTATTTTTCTACTGGCACTGGCTGGGAATTCTAAAAGATGTAGCACCTCCAAATACATCCAATGTTACTGTTCATTAAGAATTGTGATTTATTGAGCATGTGGGGGGAGGAAATTGGAAAAATGGTTATTCCAGATGTCAAGGAATGATCATCAGAAAATTGTGATCTGTTTTGAAAAAAGCAATACTGTACTTTCCACTAATCAAAGGATGCAGCAATATGTATTAGTATGGCTGCAATAGCTTACAATAATGTCTTACATTATTTATAATAGTGAATTCATTGATAAACCAGTGATTAAAAAATATATTTTTTATTTTTTCTGTATTTTTGGTTTATCCTTTTAACTGTTTGAAAATTTTATCTGTTTTTAAAATTAAAGACTGTTTTGTTACAAAAAATAAAGATATTAAATAATAATTGTAAAAATAATTGTAAAAAGTATTACTGATCTGATCTGCATTATCTGGACCAGAGGTAAATAATCTAGATTTCATACTTCTCCAAATTTTATAATAGTAATAGCACTTAGACTTATATACCACTTCATAGTGATATATGTGCTTTACAGCCCTCTCTAGACAGTTTACAGAGCCAGCATATTGTCCCCAACAATCTGAGTCCTCATTTTACTGACCTCAGAAGGATAGAAGGCTGAGTCAACCTTGAGCTGGTCAGAATCAACTCCTGGCAGTGAGCAGTGAGTTAGCCTACAATACCACATTCTAACCACTGTGCCACCACAGCCCATGCAGTTCTCAACTCAAAATACACATCTGAATGCATTTGACCCCAGATTTTAAAAATAAATAAATAAATATATGAAAATTAATAAAATACATTATTTTGTCAGACAATTTTTATTTTTTTAAAAAAATAGGAACTTTAAGAACTTGCACATAAAAGCAGAAGTGAGTCAGATGAGTATGTTTGAACTGGTCCAAAATAGGAAATAAACTGATCAGCGTATCTAGATATACAAGTCTGCATTCTAGCTCAGCTACACAGTCCTTCCATAGATTGAATTATATCAGTTTGAAACACGAGTGTACTGTGAAAAGGATGGATCAATATCTAGATATAAACTCACAAAATATTGTTGTATGCTGAACCCATGATTAGCAAGCATAGTATATTTAGCCCCCTCTATTACATATTATTATTATTATTATTATTATTATTATTATCTTTTATTCATTAGACATGAACCGCAGTCAACTGAACATTCAAATTGGCTGGCGCTGATGGTTGACACAAGTTGCTACCAGCATCCTAGGTATCAACCAGGTACCTCCTTAAAATGTAAGATGTTCCAAGTAGCGCAGTTTTTTTGTAACATTGCTGGAGTTATTGCAGGAAGCTGCAGTTTCTTGATGTATTTTGCTAAGTTTTTGGACATAGTTCCCAGTGCTCTGATGACAATGGGTATCACTGTTACACGTTTCTTTCATTATTTATTTATTTATTTATTTATGAGACTTACATACCGCTTTAAGTGCAAGCACTCTCTAAGCGGTGTACACCAGTAAGCAATGTATATATATATATATATATATATATATATATATATATATATATATATATATATATATATATATATATATATATATATATATATATATTACATTGCCCCCAACAATCTGGGTCATCATTTTACCTACCCTGGAAGGATGGAAGGCTGAGTCAACCTTGAGCCGGTGAGATTTGAACCGCTGATATTTGGAATTTTTTCCAGTTCTTTTTCTTCAACTCTGGCATCTCCTGGTACAGCGATATCAATCAGCTGTACACTTTGGTTCTTTACAACTGTGATATCTGGCATGTTGTGTTCCAAATGGCGATCTGTCTGTATTTGAAAGTCCCACAAGATCTTCACCCTCTCATTCTCAACAACTTTTTCCCACCCTATGTTCCCACGACTTTTTGGAAATAGGCAAGTCGGATTTTTTACACAATGCCCAGTGGATTAATTTAGCAGTTCGGTCATGTCTAGCTTTGTAATCAGTTTGCATGATTTTGCTGCACTCCCAGATTAGATGTGAAACAGTTTCAACTTTGTCATTACTACTACTACTACTACTACTACTACTACTACTACTATTATTATTATTATTATTATTATTATACAATCATATATCACCTCATGGAAACCCAAGTCTTACCCAGAATTTGTGAAGTAGAACTCTGAAGAGCTTGTTCTCCCATCTTCTGAATTGCTGTAAAATATACATCTGCTGCCTCAGATAATGCTGCAGGATTTTTTTTTAAAAGAAGACAATTTGAATGTATTTTTGGCTGAGAATTCTTTTTCTCTTTTTAAAATTTATTTTTCTCAGAATTGTTCTTCAATTATTAAAGCATTTTAAAAAAATGCATTCCTTGGGTTTTCCTCTGCCAAAGGTCAGCCCCCAAACTGCCTCTCTGCAAATCTTCTGGAGTTTGTATTGGGCAAAGAAAAGGACTGCTTGGAAATTCCATTAATCTCGTGTTATCCACAAGCAGAGCATGCAAAGCTGTGCATGTCTTATACACATTACAGTATGCACAGTATTGATTGTGGTGCACCTGATTATACAGATGGATTTGTCTGCACAGGTATTCTTCTCTATCCATGAGTGGTGAGAAAGATCATCTCCTCTCTCATGTATATATGAAATTCTACTGAACTAAATTGAAACTGATATAGTATTTGTTTGCTACGTTATGGCTGTCCAACTCCAAATGATTATGGAAGTTTATTTTTATTTTAAAAGCAAGGAACGATAAGAAATAATGAAACAAATCATGCAAGTGAAAAAGAGAAGATCAAATAACTTAATGGGCAATCAAGTTTATGCCCAGGAGGACAGCCAGTTTTGCAAGGAATCTTGGAGTATCGGCAAAATGTGTGTGCTACATTGTCAGAAAGAGCGTTGCAGACTGTAAGCAAGTAGACATACAGCTACCTGTGTACTTACCATAAAAAGCCTGCAGATACTTGTTACCCAGATATATCAGCTTCTCCAAAGCTGGATTAAACTGTTCCAGGATGCTCTGTTATCCATCCACATGAAGAAAAATAAAAACAATCTTACATACAACTTCTGGGTCTCTTTAAAGAAAACTACTGTAGGTAAGGCATTATTGCTTTCTATAGACAATCAATCAAGTGGGCCGTTCATGAGGTTTAAAAGTATGTTAAGCTGCAAATATCTTAACCACAGTTACTGGCGTAAATTTGGAAGCAAATTGGTGCCAGACAACATAAGGTGGTGCTATGTTGGGATCCAATGTTACCAGTCAGCAAAATGAGGGTATATACAACACTTTCTTCCCTCTCCCCCCCACCGAGTTAATCAAGGTCATTAATTATGCTTAGTTAGCTATCTTCCATGGCTAGTAGAATGTATCTACTAGTAAAATGGATGTTTGGATGCCTTTTTCCCTTGGGGATTGTTCACTGAGTTAATATGATCCCATTTCACACCATCTTTCTTCAACTTTAGTGATCTTCCCTTCACCCAGGAACTTTTTGATGTCTCAGTCATACTGGATCAGGCTATTCTTCAATAGCCAGAACTGCCTAAATACAATTGAGTTTGCTAACCATCATCTTCTCTTCTGCTTTTCCAACTCCATCACAGCTCTCTCTTCCTGCAAATTCCTTGGCCAAATTCCTTTCTCACCCCCCCCTCCCCAAACAAGAGCTCTCTCTATATATGTGGAGAAAAAACTCTTGGAGCAGATAACACATCATCATTTATTCTTCTTACCTTCCAAGTTGCTATCTTCCATATGCTGTGGCCATTACCAGAAGGACCTATGGATATTGACATCTGCTGCCTTGCATGGCTTTTGTCAATTGAAGCTTGTACATAACACTTTTGCACATCTTCTCTAAAAGGTGTAGCTTAGGCTACCAGTCTCACTTATACCTCTCCATGTGCAATATTCTCTAATGGTAACAATAGTAGTTGTGTCTTTGGGTAGAGTTAACCATGAACCAGCATGTTGCATAAACATTGCCTTGCCTTGCTAAATTTACTTAGATATAAATACCATTGTAAATCAATGAGCTTGCTGTTGAGTAAGTGTACAAAAGATGTCGATCTTTGTGTGTTGGGCAGCCAAGTAGTTTCTTTTTCATCTAGCAGTTAGTTTTCACTGCATATTGGATTACCTTCTTGTTACTTCTAGGCTGAACTTCTTGGCCTCTAAGTTTTTCAGCTTAGCTAGGCCAAATGTCACGGGGCATGAGGTTAAACCAGGTGTCAGCCAAGATTTACATTCTATGATTCTATGAAATGCAAAATATTTGAGGAACCACAGAATAGAAAAAATGGAAGTCAGATGCTTCTTACAGTCCCAGTTGGCAACAACCTACTAATTTGTAAGTTTTCCCATTTCAAAACATCTCCTTATCTTCAACTATTTCTTTCACTTCCTAATCCTCTTCAAGCTTGTATATCAAAAGCAGCCTTCCTCAAAAGCATCTCCAGATGGGTTGGGTTGTAATTTACAGAATTGTCAGTTGGCATAAGCCATCCCATTTTGTTAGAAGTTACAAATGGTTGTTCTTGAACTACTGAGAATTCCTCAGAATTCTTCTAGAACAGGGGTGTTAAACTGCTGGTCCATGGGCCAGTTGTATCATGCGAAGGCTGCGCCCACCCCAACTCCGGCAATGAGAAAAAGGTCAGGATATGTCGCGACACGTCACATGACGTGGCAAGTTTAACACCTATGCTCTAGAATAATCTTTCCCAGACCACAGCCTTCAAAATATATTGACTTACATCTTTCATCATCCCAGACATTTTGGCTAATTAGTGCAGATCACTTGATTCAAGAAAGCTGATCCTAGCAAATCTTCACTAATACTAATATAAGATTCACTGCCTGAATGTGTGTTAAAATGAAAACAAAATGCCAAATTCTGCCTCTGCCACCTAAAGAACTGGAAAGTTGGTTCATTCTTTGTTTAGATGTGCCCACTGGGCAATGCCATGGTTTGTTATCTTTCTTGAATAAACCAAAATTAGTGGAGTTCACATAATATTCTAAACCAAAACAAACAAAACACAGATTATCTTCATCTATAGGCAATCCACTCATATGTAGCAAGAGAAATCAAGTCTCCAATTTATTTAATGGTAAGTAAATAGGGGCCATAAATTTATTTTTCCAATGTTGCAATATCAGTCATTTAGCTATAGTAAGGGCACAGAGAATATATTTTCGTTGTCTAGTTGTCCAAAAATTAAGTTCCAAGAATTAAATACATAATGCAAAAGATTATCCTCTGAAAATTTTAGCTTTTGTTGCAGTGATATTTATATAGTCCACTACTTTCCCCTAACACTAAATGAAGACGTAAAAACATATATTTTAAGGAGGATGTCCTTCCTACTGTGGGAAGGATTACACCTCCAACAAAGCACTGTCCTTAACAAACTTTTCTATATAGAGTCCAATAAATTCCATTAATCTCTTTTCCAATTTAGTATAGGAAAAAAGATTGTATCTATGTTTACTAGACATTCCAATCCACAGCTTTCTAACAGATACCATTATTTCCAGAGATAACAGGGTTCTATTGTATTTGGATTCTAATTTTGTTCATCCAACCAAAGATGCTATATATGTAATATATAATATATGAGATGCCCAAATCAGAAAATCAAAATCAATTATTCGCTTTGTAAGGCTAAGTTTAATCAAATATGGGACTCATTTATACAAAATATAGTAGGTTAAAAAAATAGTGTACATATGTATTAGAAATGAATTTGTGTGTATGTGTGTAAAATATATATTTGTGTTTATGTATGTTTGCATTAGATAATTATATAGAGTTATAGCTGTTTACTGGAATGTATACGTTATATTTTTTGTTGTATTTTTTCACTTATTTTAAACACTTAATATAAATTTTTATTATGTATTTTGCATCTTTGGGGTTTTTTATTATTTTAAAAAGCAATAAAAATATTTTAAAAATACAGAAGGTCCTAGTATGATGTATGAACCTGGTCTTTAAGGAATCAGTGTTGCTTCTACTACTAAAGGCTGCATGATCTGATAATATAAAACAAACTATCTGGATACAAACACAACTGCTGCATATAATGTGAATAAATTATTTCCATACTATTAAATTTGTAACTAAAGCAGATTGAGATTCAAAGAATTAAGTTCCTCAGTTACTCTCACAACTTAAAACAGAGATTATTAACTTATTCAAGTTTTTAAAGCTATAGCACTTAGAAGCTATACTGTCACGGCTTTTAATAATCAAAGGTTTTCTCCATTTATATTTTAACAACTTCTTTCGACTCCATTTTGTCTCCTGCAGAATCCATTAAGGAAAGTCTTCTTAAACCACATGTTTCTCTTGGCCAATTAAGAGAGGCTGTTACAATCCAAGGAACAAAGAAAACCAAGCCTCACCTTATAAATAGTGATTGTCGATCTGTAGGATTGCTCCATCCTCAAATATTTTAAGACCCAAGAATCACTTCTCCAGGAACGGAGATGTTTAAGAAGATATGCAATCTTAAAGAATACTTATGAATCCAGCTCTCCAATTGCAGCTGAAAGACAGTTTTCCGCAAGTGTGGGGCACAACAAAGATGCTGGCTTGCTTTGAAAAAGAAAAACACACTGCCAGAGAGTTTAATAATTAATTCTCATGTCGTGCTGTTGGAACTTGATCTTTAGGTGTAATCAGATATCAGGTAAGGCGGAATCTTATGACAGCTATGGAGGTCATATGATCTTCACCCTTAATTATGTATTGCAGTTTCTATATATGGTTCTTTGTGAAGCATTGTTCCATCAAACTATCTTAACTGAAATAATTATGATGAAGTTGAGCACTTTGAACAACTTATCTCTGGATTGACTTCTGCCTAACCAGGCAATACACATACAGGCTGTAGCATTTTTCTGCTACATCTTCATGACATGTTCTTTATTTCATCTTCAGTCCATGAGTGGAACAAGCTTGTTGCCCTTAATTGTTCCAGTGCTAAGTAATGTTTTCACTTATATTCTGATACCATCACTTAGGTGGCCATAGGTAGAAATATAAAGTTGGATATCATCAGCATACTGATGATACCTCACTCCATGGCTTCATGTAGATGTTAAACAGGAGTGAAAAGAGAGCCAAGCTCTGTGAAACTCCACAAACAGGGGCCATGGTTAGACTTTTCCCCCATTGATACTGACTGGAACCAGCCCCAAAGGAAGAGAACCAGCATAACATTATCTACTTACTCCCAATCTCCAAAGAGACAATCCAGCAGGATACATTAATGAGATCAAAAGCCACTGAGTAGTCAAGAAAAGCAGAGATGGGAGCACAAACACATCCCACTTCCATCAAATGTAATCAATGCCATTTTACCCAGGCTATAACCTCTACTGAAAGAAGACCAGATAATCCAGTTTCTCCAAGGTTTCTTGAGTTGCCATATGACCACCATCTTTCCAGCCTTCCTTATAAAGGGAAGGTTGGATACTAATTGAAAATTGTTCAATATGGTTGGGTCCAGTGAGAGGTAAACAAACTACCACTTCTTTAAGGGACAGAGGAATCACCCCTCTCAAAGAATTCACCATCATCAGAACCTAGCCATATGTCACCTCCCAGGACATTTTACCCAACTGACAGAGACATGGATCTAAAGTACAGGTACCTGAGTTTGTAACTCCAAGAACCCTGTCCTTGTCATTAGGATCAAAAGGATCAAACTCCTCCCAGATAACCAAGCCAGACTGAGCCTTGATCACCTCCACAGAACCTACAAGAGTTCAATTTGGAATGAATCTAAGTGACTTTATCTGATAGGTCCTAGTGTATCACCCACAGCAATTTTCCAAGTAAACCTCTGAGTCAGAAGGGCCAAATTTACATTAACCAAAGCCACAAAGTGGCTATGCACAGACATATTCCAAACAAGCATAGAACCCACTTATAAAGGCCCACCACTATTAATTATTGAGTACTGATTGCCTGTGAAGTAAAGTAGCCTTTCATAAAATTGCTCCCCATCTGCACAAACATACAGCAACTGAAGGAAAAACCTTACTAAGGGGAAGGCCTAATTAGGCACAATTGGGTTGGCATTAGGTTTAGTAGATAAAAGGGATTTAATTAATGCAGCTAGATTGAGATTTTTACAGGAAGAGCATGCCACATTTGGCACAAAAGGGAACTATTTTATCCAATGACCAAGGGGAAAAAATCAAGGATTTCTCTCTTTTAGATAAATACCATGCCTAGCCTAGTCATATAAAACATAGTGTCACATGTTACTTAGTCCCCTCTTCAGTTCCCATGTCATCAATGCATGATCAGTACTACTCCCAAATGAAAAGCAAGAACAACATATGCTTCTTTCTGTTTTAGTGATCTAAATAAAGCCCTGCTTTAATATTATGTAATATTAGCATAGCTTACAGTGGCATGCAATTTTGTTAGATATTAAATTCGTTCAAAATGGAAGAGGATCAACATCTTTAGCCCCTCTTGACTCTGACTCAGTCATGATCACACCTGGTGGGGTTTAGAAATATTCAGTCATACTGCTTGTAGCTAATGTAAAAAATGTTTAAATCTTGTACTAAATGTTCCTTTCCAGAAGGCATCTTATTAAAAATGTGGGGTCTTCTTTATTAATTTGGGCAGTGAAAGAATAAAATACATCTTGAGGCCTGTCAATTTTGTACTCAAGGTGGCAGACAGGGAGAGCTGCACACTTTAAAAAACGGAAACAAGAAGCGAAGCCATTATTTTACACATTACGTTGTACATAGCAAATCTATGTGTGTTTACTCTGTAGTAAGTTTTACTGAGTTGAATGGCTTGTATTCCCAGATTCATATGGACTGGTGATGCTATGCTTTGGATGGATCACTTCATCCAGTTTACTCTAGGTAAGATCAGCTAGAAATTCAGGAAAGGCAACATTAAGCAGTTTTTCCCTTCTGTTTGCAAAAAAAATAAATCAATAAAGTCTTTGTACTCCATTGCAAGCATAAGGAAACCCATCCATAGTTACTGTATAGTTGGTTTCATTGAGTTCAAGGCTCCTTACCTCCTTTCAGCTACCATATTAATCAAACTGCCCTAATTTCCTTCCCAAATGTGGTTTCAATGGATAGAGCAGCTTTGCCTTTACCCATGGAAGGGAATAGGAAAACACATCAGTGACAGCTTTGTTCACTTTCAGCTACTTACTTTGGTGATTTGGACCTCCCACCCTCAATTTATTTACTTTCACCATCACCTCTTCTTTTTATCATTCACTCACTGAATGCAAAATGATACACATGCATCCATCCACTCACAGGGATTTATTTGGAGAAACCCCCCTCATCTTTCTTTAGGTTAAATACAGCAATTCTCACACCACAAAATATTTAAAAATTCACTTATGTCATACAGAGTAGCCTTTCTCTGACAGGTGACTTCCAGATATTGGCTAAGAATTCCCTAAAGTTGATCTTATGCAGTTTGAATTGCCAGTTTTTAAGAGGGTTTTTTTTTTAATAAAGTGCTCAATTTGCAATAAAATCAAGCAAAAATGCATCTGGGCATTGGAGATTGCAATTTGTATTAGGACATCTTAAATGAAAAGAGTTAAGACAAAGAATGATCAGATTTCAGAAAATAGTGTTTTTATTTAATACTTGCTTTTGGGGGGAAAAGGACTTTTTAACGTCAACATAATTTTCATTTGAATCTGAAATAACTTATGAAAATAATGGGAGAGTGAAGTATTTCCTGTTACTTTCACCTCATCAGTTTTTCAACAATTCCAATGCATCCTATTAAGTCAGTTAAATCTTAGAAAAACAGTGCATTTTTGTTAAACAGTAGTACCTTAAATTTTTGGCCTAAACAAAACAGCAAATACAGCATTCATAAGTAGAAAAATTAATGCAATAAGGAAGAAAGAGTATGAGAAAACAGAAAAACCAACCATAAAAACATGGGCCCAATTATTGACTTTGTTAATCAAATGTCTCCTTATTTGATCTCTGCCCATTCCTACATTTTTCATCCTTATTCAGAAATGTCTTTGTTTGAGAAGACTATTGTCCAAGCCTGCCTCCTGTAAGGAAGCCTGTCCTCCATTCCTCCAGGATTCTTTAGTGCCACTCATAGCAAAGTGACTTCTTTGGGGGTGGGAAGATTCAGAAAAAAGGAGTCTGAAGTAAGGGAACAAGTATTTAGGATGGTTTTTGGTCTAGAATGAGCAAAGGAGTTTGCCTAGTACCAATAATGTTGAAAGGGAATGGTAGGTTTTCTCATGTGTAAAAAAAATCTCCACCTTCCATATAACAAAAAACTCAAGACATGACTTGTAAATAGGAAAAAAAGAGCAATTTCAATTGTTCAAGTCCTTATGTACAACCTTAGATACAAAGGTATAAGTAATTAGTTCATAGCATACAACTAATCTTAGATTGCAGGCAGAAATGATCCAATTCTGATCAACAAACAAAGTGAAATGATCTAAACCTTTAAGATTACTGGTGTAGCAGCACATTGAGGTGGGGTGGGAGACAGTCACAGGATACAGAACAGCTGAAGGATGTTTTGATGGGAGCAATCCTTATATTTTTCTACTTGATTTTTCTGGTATGAAGACAACGGGGCAAGCCACTGGCCAGCAGACTCTGCTACTTCTCATTGATAATCCAAGCTGCAGCTCAAGGCAGGCATTATTTGTACCAAAAATCTTCACAAAGCTTTATTTAATTAGGAGCTGCTCTACCAACTGCTCGAATTTATCCCAATGTTGATAAATGTAGATCTGAGTCTCCCAGAGCATGTTTACCAGGATTGTATTGCTCACTTCATCCAGCATTATGTCTGTCTCAAAAGAGGGACTGAATCTGTGGGCATCAGCAAGATGTTAACAAGAACAGCAGTTTTGTGCATATGCTGCAACTGAAGGTAAGAATGTAGGGCAAAGAAGTGTTCAACAGAGAAAACAAAATACAAGGGGAACAATGGGGTACAACAGGAGCATCATAGGACCTTCACTTTTAGATTCCAAAAGCTTCCCCCCCCACACCCATGTTTTCAGGATATCACTGACAAAACCTGGTGACAGAAAAAGCCAATACAAATAGTCCTCAACTTACAACAACAATTGGGACCTTATTTTCCATCACTGATGCAGTCATTGGATCAGTTGCACCCGATTTAACAACTTTTTGCTGTGGTTGTTAAGTGAATCACACAATGGTTGAGCAAATCCAGTTTCCCTCATCAGTTTTGCTTGTAGAAAGCTCCCTGGGAAGATCACAACTGGCAACCATGGGAGCCCTCCCTCCCCCACCCCCCCAGGATGCTGCAATTGTTGTAAATACATGTTGGTTGCCAAGCATGTGAATTTTTATCATGTGAGTATGGGAATGTTGAAGTGGTTACAAACTTAAGGACCTATATCATAAGTCACTTTTTTCAGCACCATCATAACTTCAAATGGTTGTTAAACTACAGGACATAAGTCAAGGACTATCTGTATAGTTTTCTTCTTCCATTTAAATATTTTGAGCTCTTCCCTACTTTTTAGTGTGCAAAGTTCTCTGATCAAGGACTGAGTCATTGCCTCATCGAAACTTTGCTTCCTGTTCTTGCATTATCCTGTGTCACAGTCTTGTCTACTTAATTAACACTAACCTGGTTTTATATAAAACCTTCTGACTATAGCTCAGACATGGGATAATTGAATTATATTTCTCTACTTCTCAGTTGAATCCTGTCCCATTAAAAAGTTGCAAGGGCCACTTACACAAAACACCTAAAAAGCAGAAAGCAGCCTAGAAAAACGACTATTTATTAAGACAGGGAACTTGTGACTCTTGAAATGTGACTGAACTGTCATTCTCAGCAGCCACTGCCAACATGACCAATGATGCTGGAAGCTTCAGCTTACCAACATATTGAGATTTAGAACTTGCTCAACTCTGCCTGTGCAGGCTGCCAGAATGCATAATAATCTTCAACTATAAATCAGCTTTATCCTCAACTAACGTGACTGACAGAGCCACTGTATGGTAATCCTTGTTTATTATATAAGCTCATATTCTGAAATCACATTCACAAGTTCACGCTTTGATTTTTCTGACACAGTATTACAGTAGACATGGCTTGTACCTGAAATAATGGGCATCTATCATCTCACACCAGGCAGCTGCACGGTCAACACATGGTCCATCTGGATCTGTGCACTGCAAAAATAAAACCAATACGTTATTCAAGGTATGCCAGTTTTTCTACAGAACAAATTTCCAGTACAAATTTAAAAAAAACTTCAAAAGAAAAGAAAAACAAGCAGGTTTGGGCAAGCACACATTGGATAATTTAATTTTAAGAACAACAGAGATATGAAATATATGGCAATGCAGAGTTTTCCTGAGAACGAGAAAGATTTTCCTACTTAATAAGACAGAAAAAGAAACAAAAAGCGGAGGGGAATGATACATAATAAAGGAGAGTATTTGGTTCTTTATAAAAATGGTCACCTCTGTAAGACATTGTATATAAACCAAGCTTATCTCGTACAAATATTGTATTTCCAAATTTCTAAAAATATGTGAAGAAGGCTTTCATCAGCTGGACAAAAAGCAAGGGAATCTGTTAGGAAACTAAAAAATGAATAGCTCCTGTGGATCAGATAAGCTGTTTAAAAAGTATTATAAGATGTTTAGGAGCAGTATATTGAATGGTCCTTGGTGTTCTCTGAGCTTGGTTATTTTCTTGCAGACATTTCATTACATTACATTTCATTACATTTCAACTGGGAAATTATGACCATCCTAGACCAATCCAAGTCTAGAGAATTCCTGGAAGCCTGGCACTCAATAGGCACATGGACACAAACAATATCTGCATGGCATTCAAGAGATTATCAACAAGCCAAAAAGGGAACAATAAAACACCTACCCACCAGCAGCTATCACCCAGATGAGTAGAGATTAACACCAAGATTAACATCAGATCAACAATCAAGAATATCCCAATCAAGGAACTGCCAAACAAGCTAACAGTATATACGCCAGACAAAGAACCTCTAAAACCATCCCCACCAACACTGATAGGGCAAGTCACTAGTATATAAAATGAGAGCAAACCCCACTCCCTACTAGCACTAATGATGTTACCTAGTTTGGGTAATGAAACATCTACAAGAAAACAACCAAGCTCAAAGAATATAAGGACTCTCAGTCATCCAGGTCATAGTTGTCCCAAAGATGCTTTTTCCACGAGGCAACTGGACTTTCTCATTTTCCTTTGAAGACATTTCTCTTCTCATCCAAGAAGCTTCTTCAACTCTGACTGGATGGTGGGGAATGGAAGGACTTATACTCCTTGCAGACAGCTGGTCATTTGCATTCTTTTAGAGGGTCATTGGGGCCACTTGCAGACTCCACACCCATTTGCACTACTCAGGTGATCCTGATGACACAGATAAATGTCCAGGTAGCCCCAACGACCTTCTAAAAGACCAGCAAATGACCAGCTGTCTGCAAGGAGTATAAATCCTTCTATTCCCCATCATCCAGTCAGAGCTTAAGAAGCTTCTTGGATGAGAAGTGAAATGTCTTCAAAGGAAAACAAGGAAGTCGAGTTGCCTTGTGAAAAAGCATCTTTGGGTCAACATTTGCTAGTATTACCTTAGGAAAACTATTTTCTTCCCCTTTATTGGGCTTTTGAATTGTTGTATTACAAACTATCCAAAACATTCCTTTTATTTGCAAAATGTAGAAATCTGCACCTTAGATTTGATATCATGATGCCTACTCTCTGTATCTCATACTCACACAGTCCACCACCAGTCTGCCTAGTTCTTTAGCCCCATAGACAGTCTTGGCCAGTTCCCAAGGGTTGGAGGGACGAAAGACATCCACAGAGCTCACGGGCACTTTTGGTGCTCTGCCAGTTCCAAGAGATACAACAACTCCCAACTTCCTCACTTTGTCACCTTGTTCCTGAAAAGATGGGAAAAAAAACAAGCAAGTACTTCAAGCTTCCAAAGATAAAGAGGGCAGGAATCTTACCAACATGTTCACATATTTTGCTTGAATATAGCACAAAAGAAGCATGTGCATAGTCCATATGAAATAGGTATTTGGAATGTTATTCTACTTTTCTTTTCCATTCTTCAAAGAGGTATGGAGATTTAGTAAGTGAGTTCTTTAACTTGTTTACAAAACTGATTGGTAGCTTGACATTTTACACATCTTACACATTTATTCTGGAATAAATTTATACACAAAGCTCGAAAGTTTATTTAGTTACAAATCAAGGTTTGATTACCTTCCTGGTAAAACCTCAGGGAACCTTTTCTTTCCCTGTATCATATGATGGACCTTGCCAACCCTTTTTTTTTTTTTTTTGTAGAGACTTGCTTTAGTTAGTTCAGCTGAGCAGATTATTGCAAAATGCTCTGGCTAGTTTTGCAGACATTTTTGAAACTCCAGTTGTTCCAAACTGCAGCAACCAAGGTTTCATGCCATATATCACAGAGCATAGTGTGGAAAAAGCCCTAGGAGCTTAGGAACATATATCCTTAGGAATTGTTTGTTTTCATACAAAAATCCTATCACAAATAGGATAGCACATATACAAGAGGTATGCTGGTACTTGATTACTTTTCTAATTAAACATGTCACTCTCTCCATGATGTTTAGCCAGAAATTGACATGCAGGCTTTTAATTTTGCATACCTAATTTTTCATTTTGCCTAATTACCATCTTTCTCTACTTGGATTAAACTTTAAAAGAAAAAAATGAATAACAAAAGAGAGAGCAGTAAAACTAAAGTGCTGGCTATATGATATGGCTTCTATTAGAAATTGGTTGATGCAGTTTACTCTGAGGGAAGTTGATGAAAATGTTCTGTTTGCCGGATTCTTTTAGATCCCATTAGTGATCAGGAGCACCCACAAATTATACTGCTGAATTTGGCAGCAAAACACCTTATTTCCAGCAGAAATTATGTTCTTCTTTATGTTCTTCTTGCCCCACAGTGTCAACTCTACAAATGAGCATGGCTGCAGCCATTTTTCCTATTCGTTTTCGGTTGCCACATAGAATGGAGGGAGGGGGGTTGCCAGGTACTTCGCTAGCCAAAATAATCTTTTGTCCCTTGGGAACCAAGGTCATCGGCTGCTCCAGAGACTGCAGGCAACCTGCCAAGAAGATGTATTGGGGAACGTAGTTGCTTGCATAGTTTTAGGGGTGGGATTTTCAACTTTGTATTGGGGAATTGTTTATGTGTGTCTCCAGACTTGATTTCACTTTTGATCGGATTCGTCTGTCGGAACCATGAACAAAACCAACTGAAACATTTCCCCTTTTAGCCACCTAGAGACATGCACCACTTTCTGAATTCTTTAGAAACCTGTTTTTTAAAGTAAAAATACTGTCTCTGGGTGGAAAAAATGGTTCACTCTTAGACATTTTAGAAAATTGCATGTGCAAATTAGAATTTCTCTTTAATAAATATTCTTGCAGAATAAAGCCATACTTTCTGGATTAAAGACTTGTTATATTCATTGATCTCAGTTATGGCATCCAAAGTGGGGTTGTTGGCTAGCAGCCCTCCATCCAGAAATCGTCCTACGGGTCGAAAATATGTTGGAGCAGCTCCACTGGAACGGGCAGCCTGCCACACCAGTTGATCTATAAGGTAGTAGTGACAAAAAGTAGTGACTATCAGCAAGAATGCATATCAATATTATAATAAAAACAAAGTAAAGCTATCTGGCTATTTATGAAATGGAAATAAACACAAGAAAAATTCAAATCAAGGAAAGATTTGGTGGTAGTAGCGAAGCCAAAAGATTTCTTTACATTATTTTGATTACACTTTAATTCTTAAGAAGAAATAAAAAAGCACACCCCAAAACATTATGGTGCATAACAAATATTTCCTCAAAATTTCTGGCAATGCAAATGCCATCAAACAGAAGACACTGATAGTTCCATATGTGCTTCCTTTACAATACTTAGCAAAGTTGTCTAATACTACTTTTTTTAGCTTAGGGCTGCTCTAAATGTTTTTTTCCCCATACATAAATTATCCTTCTGATGGGAGAAAAATATCACTGCATATGTAACCAGTCTTTATTTGGTTATGAGCAGAAGATCATGAGAAAGTCATGTGTTCCAATCTTATTTACAATATGTAGTATACATTCATTCCAAACATGACATATGCTAAGTGTATGATTATTTTGTTTCATCCACTTCCTTACAAGGTGGTGAATGAGCAGAAATGATGTATTCCTTACAGGTTCCTCCTACCACTCATCACTCACTCCCAGTGCAACTTAGATCCCTGGTCTGTGGGAATGGATACAGGTAGTCCTCAACTTACAACAGTTCATTTAGTAACCATTCAAAGTTACAGCAGCAAAAAGTGACTTATATTTTTCACACTTATGAAAAAGTATCCCTTTAGTCACATGATCAAAATTCGGATGCTTGACAACTGATGCATACATTTGATGGTTGCTGTGTCTGGGGTCATGTCATCACCTTTTGCAACCTTCTGATGAGCAAAGTCAATGGGAGAGCCAGATTCATTTAACACCTGTTTTACTAACTTAATGCCTGCAATGCTTCATTTAACAATTGTGGCAAGAAAGATCGTAAGATGGGGCAAAATTCACTTAACATCTGTCTCACTTGACAACAGAAATGTTGGATTCAGTTGTGGACGTAAGTCGAGGACTACCTGTATTTACCTTCTGGCTTGGTCATTGGTTGAAATGAGCCTATCATTCTGAAACGGGATTTGTTTCTTCCTTCTGGCGGACTGTAATTCCTGAACAAATGGAGCTCAGCAGGCTGTCGGTCACATAGTGTTGCTGTCAACATGACTCTGTAAAATGTTGAACAAGACAAAATTTCAACTTGATTGCAAGGCAGAGACCATAGCACAGCAGCAATACTTATGCCCTCCAGGCAGAAGGTAAGAGACTCAACCTTCTAGTTAAAGGAGATCAGGTACTACTTGATAAAAAATGCTTTTAATAGAAAGAAGTAAGAAAGATGGATCATTCACATGTTATCATTCTTCTATGGGTCATAAAGTGGCATTATAACTCTGTTAGACAATTTACCATTTAGATACTGATGAGATACCAAACCTTATTGAATAAGGGAAGGTAAAATAAATAACCAGCAGAGCTAATTAACAAAAAGTATAAGTTGGTGTTCAGGAAGCCATCCCAATGCTTTTCATTTTGGCTTACTTGGGACTCTTGATATCTGTCATTTTGGTATGTTCTCCAAACTCCTTTTTCAGGAAATTTTCAAGAGGCTCTGATTCATAGGGCCGTGACCCTCGAAAGACCTCATCTTTCATGCGAAAGTATACACAGCGCATGTAGTCCATGGGTTTCCCTGAGAAGAAGAACAGTATTATTGGTTTTCTATAGAACACCTTCGGTTCCAATCTACCTGATAGAAACAAGCGGGAAATTATCTAAACAGCTTGGTGAAAATATGGAAATCCATGTTTTGTGCAATGAGTGAAATCACCAAATGTGTGACAGAAGGGGGAACACCAGACCAAATGTTCAATAGCAGGAAGGAATACATAAGGCTACGCCAGATGCAAGAGTGCAATGTAGATGAGCCATTTTGTGTAAAGGCTCCATATATTGCATGCTCTGAATGCAGGAGATCCCAGATTCAATCTCTTGAGAGACTGGTAGAAAAATTAGAAAAACACTTGGTCATTTAAAATACAGACCATAAGGACTAATGATTAAATTATTATTAATTACATGATAAAACATGGCAGCTTCCAATGAAGAATGGTAAAGAACAATTGAAGAATTGTTTGATGGGCAGACACAAAATATATCTGTGTACTGGGGGTAATACAGTATAAACTAGGGTTGTCTTGTATCTACTCCCAGCAATGGAACCATAACACTGAATCTCAATTTTTGGTCAGGAACCTTTAGTTCTTTTTCATCTCTATTCAATAAAAAGCTTTTTATAGCCCTTTTGTAGACTGAACTCATGTTAATTACCTACTTAAAGATTAGAAGTAAAAATTAACTAAACAAGAACTGAGCCTATGAGTTTATCTAGCAAAAAAAATTGCAAAGCCAATGCAGCAATGAAAATGGTTTAAACAAGAGCACGAAGAGCTATATAATGTGGTAGTTTGACAAGAAATCTGGAGCCCAATTCTGATCAGGGTTTTTAAAAGCAACCCCTCCCCCATTTTCTTCCCCGTTCAGTGACCGTTCCCCTCCCACACTGAGTCATTTCCACATGGGATTACTTGCTATTCACATCACTTCTTACCTTGTATAATAGCCAGAGCCAGAATTCCCCCTGTACTAGTCCCCGCCACCCAGTCAAAGAGCTCTGAGATGGGACGCCCTGCAGCTTTCTCTATAGCGATGAGAAACTGGATGAGTACAATGCCCCGAACACCCCCACCGTCCAGACTCAGGAGGCGGTCCTGGCTAGAGAAGAGGAACAGAGAAAACAAGGGAAGTGTCAGTCCCAGAAGTAACTTTGCCTTGTTTTTCACATTAAGATGACTCAGGGAGATAGTTAAATTTTTATATGCATTATATAATATATCTAATGTATCGAAGCAATTGTTCCTGAGAGTACATTTGAGCCACAGAAAAAGGGAAGCAATAGGCATGGAGCCTTTCTTTCCAGGAATCTTTCCAAGATCTTTACTGGATCTTCCCCATGCAGGGACACCTAAACCCCCTATGTAACTTTCACTGACCCTACTTGCTTACTTTCTCCTCTTCTCAGGGGCAGAATCCACCACATCTGGTCTCCTCAGCAAGTTGCCAAGAGCTGCTGAAACATGGATGACGTCCATGTATTCTAGAAAAACATAGAGCAACAAAACATAAAACTTTTAATTTTCAGGACACAGCAGGCACGGGTTAGAACTGAGAGTTTAAGATGTATTTTCTCGGTCACTGTAGTACCCAGATTCGATAGAATCTGGAGTTTCTATTTCTCAAGGCATTGCCCAGAAGGAAATGATGTGATAGGCATGCCTTTCCAGAGTCACCATAATCAGCGACAGTAAATCATACCTGCCAAATCACTTTCCGTGTATGCAATGCTTATAAGAGCTTTGTCTATCCTGAATATAGTAACCCTATCGGCTAGCAAAAGAGCTATTTATTAATCTATCTCTTTTAAAATAGATATTATTATAGCTGTAAGAATATGAAGGAAAAGTGAAGGAAAAAACATTGGGGGTATAATAGGATGAATTACTATAGAACATGGTAAGCAGTCACAAGATTGGTTGTCCTGATTGCTCCAATGCCATGATCACTTTTCTAGCACATCCACATACTACTGGAAATCTGTAATCAACCGAAATGATTATGATGGCAACCTGGATGTGTACACTGGCATTCATTTACACATAAGCATTCTCAGACATTCAAAGTGCAATACCATGTTGGAAATCTTAAGGTGTGAAGTGGTCCAAGAGAGTGAAAGGAAAGAAAGGCACACAGAGCTAGGTGGTAGGTTACCTAAGCCAGAACTCCGTGGGGCTGATGATCTTTCTGGGAGGGTGGAAGTGGATGTTGATGAGGCAGATGTGCCAGGTGGAAGGAAGCGCTCAATCCCTATAACTTTCAGCAGATCTAAAAGAACCTTCCGGTTGGCACCTTGCATAAGTGAGGTGGGAATAACATGCATTTAAACAGAAAATTATTAAAATAAATAAAAAAAATCAGTCACTACTGCAAGCTCTGAGCCACCCTATTTCTTGTACCCAGGAAGAGCTTGTATCTGAAAGACAGGTGAATATGCTTGCCAAGGGCAATGGAGAGCAATTTTTATGAGGTAGCTATAGAGCCTAGTGCTTAATGCTCCCCTCTATTGTTGGTTATTTATCTATGATTCTAAATCTCCATTCCATAGTAGACCTTCACTAGGAAGTACTGATCTATGCCCTAAATCCCAAGATCCATGGCTTAAATACACATGGATTCTGTTCACAATGTTAACCAAATCCAGTTGGGTAGACCAAGGTCAACCCTCCCACCACCCTACTTTTATCCAAATGTTCTTCCTACCTTTGCTTGTCCTGGCTGCCACCAATCCAGGTGTCTCCCCTAAATCATTGGGGATATCCACATCTGCTCCAAACACAATAAGGGCCTTGATCATTTCTATATGATCTTGCTATTGGGAAGAAAGGAACTTGTTAATGGAAACATAATTGTCCTAATCCTCTCCATCCATTGTTTTCTAGTCTATGTTGAAATGCTCACCCAGTTTACCATCTTTTTGTGTTTCTAGGCCACTAGGTTTCCTGTAGGTCTAAAGCTGGTTAAAGAATATCAAACTTTGGGTTAAAAGTTTGCAATGCCATTCCTCAAGGGTACGCTAAACTTCCACATCCTCAAAAACCCTCTTGAATGATGAGATCTTTTATGAAGCTCCAGAAGCCCAATAAAGTGGAGAGGCCTAGATATAGATTTTCCACCATACAAACTGCCAATTGGCTTATCTATCTCAAACAGATTGGGATCTCCAACCTTCTTTTGATCGAATAGCTGGTTTATCTAGATAAGAATGGCGGTGATGAGATAAATAAATATAAAAGCATATTGGTTCGAGTGATTGATGTATCAAGATAAATGTAGAAAGTATGCTCATTGCAGAGATGAGCATAGCCTACATTTGTTGTCTCTCTCTCTCTATATATATATATATTTTTTTTTTACAAAAACACTGAACTCTACCAACTGGAAATTGGTACAAAAGACATACAGACAGGTTTAAAGGTGCTTGAAACCAAAGATAGATTTGAAATATCAGAATATAATTTAGTTTTTCTTTCACACATGCAAAGCAAACTTTCTTTGTTAAAGTCAGGGAGGGCACATTGTTAGTCCTATTGCTAGAAAAATGGGAGCGAGAAATTCAGGTAGTTTTGCTGCAAAAGTCTTCCAGAAATACCTTGTGCTCAGCCTCTGCTCTCTGCATTTTAGAAAGAAAGCACCTCTCTCAATTTCCCATCTGCTAGAAAAATATCCAAATGATGAAAGGCCCACCTGCATGGCCAGATGAAGTGGTGTGTTGCCATTCTTCTCTTTAGTGTTTGGCATGGCTCCGTGTGTCAACAACACCATTGTGCAGTCCAAACGCCCACGTCGCACAGCAATATGAAGGGCTGATTCTCCTGATGAACTGAGGGCATTCACTTCACAGCCATACTCAATAAGCATCCGGGTTATCTAGAGTCATGAAGGGAGAAATGACAAATAGGAATTGCAGCATGTGCCCTTCTCTCCTTCCAAGAGTTTTTCCTGTGATATTTTTCCTGATGGGACAGAGGTTGCGTCATCAGTCCTTTTAAATATGTGTAGCTCTTTTTTAAAAAGAAAATTGTATTTTTTAGTTACCAAATCATTCACTTGTCCAGGTAGTCCTCGAGTTATGACCATTCGTTCACCAACCATTGAAAATTATAGCTGCACTAAACAAATGGTAGTTGTGCCTGGTCCCCAAAGTTTTGGTTGTTGCAGCTCCTCTGCAGTCACGTGATCAACATTTGAACAAGGCAGCTACTATCTAGACTTATTTACTTAACAAGAAGGCACCTCAAAATGTATTTCAGTCAATTTACAAAATACATTTTTTTGAAGGTTACAATGATTTTTCCTCTCATACTTTGTTTTATAGTGTTTCGTGCAGGGTCTTCAAACTTGGCCCTTTTATGACTTCTGGACTACAAGTCCCAGAATTCCTCAGCCAGCTTGCCTGGATGAGGAATTCTGGGAGTTGAAGTCCACAAGTCATAAAAGGGCCAAGTTTGAAGACCCCTGGTTTAGTGCATAAAAATGGAAAACAGAGTTGACCATAACAACACTTTTCTAAAATATTCTCACAGAGGGCCAATCTTTTTTATTTGTGTCGCTTTCTGACAACAAGAACTAAAGACACTGCTCTTATCCCTTCGACAACCAAATTAACTTTTCGCAGTTAGGGATTTTTTAAAAAAAATATATTTTATTGGTTTTTTTAATTTTAACAAAAAGTACTTTAGACACACCGTGGTGTTTGGGTAAACAAACAAGGTAAAAAACATACATAATACAATCCATAGAGCCAATCCTTAATAAAATCCATAGAGCCAAGATTCTTTTATCCAAACCATTCCATACAACAAAAAAACCATCTAACTAATTTAAACACATATGTATATAGTTATAACTGACTTAATTAAGCGAAAAGAAAAAAGAAAAAAACAATAATGTTAAACCTTAATTCCTTTCAATTCATTACACAAACTTCAAATTCCATCCAATTAATTATCATACCTTATCAGATCATATTATTATACACAAAAATCACCTAATCAATTTAAACACTTACTAATTTAAACACGCATGTATATAATTGCATTTTTCTTAGTTCTAGCTCTAGATCATTATCCTTAAAACAATCCAGAAAATCAACATTGCCTTTTGCTCCATTAAACATTTTTAAATTTCTTTTTCAGTCTAATTCTGGGTTTCTTTCTATGCCACATGGGCTTCCATAAAAGCGCTTCCCTTTCAACCAGTAAATCCATTCTTGATGCTTGTAGTAATCTTTGAGAAAATGTACGTCCCTTCCTCTGCAGTAAACATCTTTTTTCCCTTTCAACCAATAGATCAATTCTTGTTACTTGTAGTAATCTTTGAGAAAATATAAATCCCTTCCTCTGCAGTAAACTTCTTTTTCTGTTCTCCTTGAAGTGTGGTTGCTTTGTATTTTGAGGTCTTAGTCTTTGCTTCTTCTGGTTCTCTAAGTTGCTGAAGAAAGGATTGTCAGATGAAATAAATTCCACTTCTATCTCTGTAAATTCCTCTTCTGGTACATTTTGATTTATGCCATGATCAGTTGTAACCTGGACATCAGTTTGAGCAAATGTAGTAGAATCTCTGAATCTTAATTCTAAAGTACAGTTTTTAAATGTAGCACAAATTTCTGCAGTGGCCTCATAAATCTTTTCCAATATAAGTGCACAGTTCAGTTGTATCTGAGGTTTCTCCATTTTAATATTAATGCTTAAAAGGAAATCTCTTTTTCTTTTTTGTAGAGGCTTTGTTTAATGTAAAAACATCCACCCCCACAGCTTCACAGGTGCACAGCTTATCGTTAGTGTTTTGAAATTCAACAGAAAAATAAGCAAAGTTGCAATATTAAATTTTCGCCACTAGATGCCCTCAGTGAGTTAAGAAATAGAAATAGTAAAATTCTTAAAAAGAAAGGAGAAAACCTTTTCCTTCTTTTTTCTTTTTTAATGTCCAAATAAAAGTAAAATATAGCCTTTCAGTGTTTGTAAAATGCCTTTCTTCCCAAAGAAAGCAGAAGCCGCCTTTCCAAGCTAGGAAAATAATTTCAAAAGCTCTTACAGGTACACAAACGAAAAAAGGCGGAAAAGAGAGAAAAATAAGAAAAAATTCTCACCTGGATTTACCATGGGGGCACTCAAAGCTTAGATGTTGTCTGACTTACAGTCTGAAGCAGCAGGGCGATCGGCCATTTTAGTGGCCGATCTTCTTCTCTGTCAGCCCTCGGAGATTCATCCAGAAAGCTGGAGCCGCCGCTCCTCCGCAGATGGACAGCAGCCTCCTCGACGGAAGTCGCACCCTCCAGGGTGACTTTGGACCCATATAAGGGTCCACCGACGGAGGGAAACCTAGTCGATGAGGAGAGAAGTCTCCCCGTGCGACTAGTGACGCTGCGAACCGGAACCGGAAGTCACAGCTAGGGATTTTAATGTTGTTGTTTTAATCAGCATTCTGATATTAGCCTACTGAATTATGGCACAAAAGACATACATTTAATGAATCCTATGCCTTGGATTTCGTCTTGGTTGCCAGAATTAAACAAAATTCACCATACTTCAAAACAAAAATCCACTTTCAATTTTTCTGATCATTCACCTGTGTTTCAGCAATACAATTGCATAGATAATTTATTTTGTTACTGCTTTAATTAAATAATCTGGAATCGGGGGTCCACACTATGGATTTTATGTCACTCAGAGATTTTCTAGCAGATATATTTTCATCTTCCATCTATTTCAGTTATATAACAAGTTTTAGCATGTTCCAAATCCTCAGAGAAGTAAACTCTGTATTTTCTGCCAATATAAAGTTCCTTAGTACCAATAGCAATAGCACTTATATACCACTTCATGGTGCTTTACAGCCATCTGTAAGGGGTTTTACAAAGTCAGCATATTGCCCCCAACAATCTGGGTCTTCATTTTACCGACCTCGGAAGGCTGAGTCAACCTTGAGCCGGTGTGAATCAAACTGCTCGTAATCAGCAAAATCAGCCTGCAATACTGCATTCTAATCGCTGCCCTATCACAGCTCTTAATGTGATGAACTTTCTAACACAGTGGTTCTCAACCTTTTTAATGCCGCGACCCCAACCAGTCGTAAGTCAAGGACTACCCAACTGGTCGTAAGTCGAGGACTACCCAACCGGTCGTAAGTCAAGGACTTTCCCTGCCCGGGAGTGCCACGCATGCATGGTGCCGCCCCCTGCGTCGGCTGAGGCATAATTGGCAAGGGGCAGCGACGGCGCAGGTCGACCACTGGCTGGGCCACCAGCTGGCCCAGCCCAAGGGAGGTAAGGCACCCGCCAGGCCCCATGCGCGCCAGCCTCCCACCCCTGGCCCTCTTTTAATTACATTTTTAGTAGTTGCTCAGCAGGGAGGGGTGGAAACTTCCAGACAGCTCGCCTTCGCTGCAGACAACTTGCAGCACCGTTTGCAGACTGGGGCTTTTGCCGGGCTCAGCAGGGCAAAGACAGCCTGGACAATTCCTATTGACTTTTGAAAGCCAATAGAATTAGACTCTATTCAAGAGAGTCTATTCTATTGGCTTTCAAAAGCCAATAGAATAAAAGGGAGTAGCACAGCTAAGGAAAAGGGGAAAAAATGGCGGACTGTGTTGTTTGGTGACCCCCGTGAAATGGTCGTTCGACCCCAAATGGGGTCGCGACCCACAGGTTGAGAACCGCTGTTCTAGCATATAGAGCTGGTTGAAATTATAAAAGAGGAAAAGTAACTAGCATAACAGCCCTATGACACTCCAATCTTGTTCATCCCACAAGTAAATAAGCCTCTTTAGTGGTTTGGAGCTGCAAGACAATCAAATCGGTCAGTACTAGAGGAGATCAACCCTGACTGCTCTTTAGAAGGCCAGATCCTGAAGTTGAAACTCAAGTACTTTGGCCACCTAATGAGAAGGAAGGACTCATTGGAGAAGAACTTAATGCTGGAAAAGATTGGGGGCAATAGAAGAAAGGGACGACAGAGAATGAGGTGGCTGGATTGAGTCACTGAAGCAGTAGGCGTGAGCTTAAATGGACTCCAGAAGATGGTAGAGGACAGGAAGGCCTGAAGGAACGTTGTCCATGGGGTCGCGATGGGTCAGATACTTCGCAATTAACAACAACAACAACAACAACAAAGTGGTTTGGAGCAACCTAGGCACTCAATCTTTCTTACTTGAGATGTGAAATCAAGGATATAGCTATATCATAGGAGACACATTTTTCAGTAATTCAAAGGCTTGGTTTAGATATCAATTTTGCCCAATTTTAGGATCCATTATTTTTGAAAAGTCCACAAATTTACCCCAAGAAGAGGAGTGAGTCATATCAGAATCAGAAGACTTACAAGGGTAAACAAATCAATCACTCCTTTGTTTTTATAAGGAGATGGGACACTTGAATAAAATTGCACTTTTATATGTGCAAATATTTTTCATTTTCTTCTGTGAGAAAAATATAGCCACATTTTTAAAACTTTCTTAACCTAGTGTCCTACAGTCTTCTCTTAAGTTATCATTCTTGGGTATTCATTTTGTCTAATAAGTAAGATTTTTGGCTGAAGCAAGCATGCTGCAAATTATTCTATATTCAATTTGGTACTTTGAAAGTAGGATTCTTGAAGGTGGAATACAACTAATGCTGTTTCTCCATAATTTTTACACAACAGCAGAAGAATATTTCTAGGTCTCCTGGTTCTACACAAATATTAACAACCCAGAACCCAGCAAGATCATACATAGTGAAATGTTAACAATGGACCGGGGGAAAGAATTATTCCCAGGAGAATGGCTCCCAGGTAGTAAAAGCAAAATTAAAAACAAATGATTTATCATCTCTAATGAGATTGTACTTTTTCACCTCTGCAATTTTGGCCCAATGAAGGGGTGTAGCACCATATCGTGGATCCAGAAACTGAATCTGGTTTATTTCTTTATCAAGAAGAATTTCTGCACATCTGGAAGAAAAAGGAAGGAGAAATAAACAAAAGATGCCATAAAGATGTCCTGGTCAGCTTTATAAATAGTTGCATTTTTAGTATGAATGGAAATTACTTTTCAAAGCTCCAGTATCAAGCACATAAAGTATATTAAAAGCCCTAGGATTCCTATTGGGAATGCAGTAAAGCCAAATATAATTAAGCAACTTTGAAATACCACGCCTTTGAATGATCATATCCTCTGACTTCATTGCATTATCACTTACACTCATTCATGAGTCCCCTCTTGTCCTCTCTGCCTTCCTATACTATCTGCTGCACTGTTATCTTGACTGTGGAGCTTCATTGCTTTAGTCAGCTTTCTGCCACAATCTCCTGGAGCCCATTGACCATCTTAAAAGAGTTTTGTTAAAACCTTCAGTATTTTTCCTATGGAGGCAATACTTTCCACTAACACATACATACTCCTGTAATCCATCCAATGGGGCTATGAACAATAAGTGGATTTGGCACATCTCTTTCCCCTCTCCCCCCCCCCCAAGCTGGCATGTTATACAACGGTCTTTTAAGGCAACAATGGCATTTCCCCACCTATTTAATTGTGAAGGGACACTCCCAGGACTCTTGACTGTTCAGCTACTTTGCAGCCACATTTAGAAGTAGAAAAATGGGTATAAGATCAGCATCCTACAAAGTTCCGCTTTTAATTCAAACAAGCAAATTACTGCCAGTTTTGTGAGAGTGAAAGATGTGTACTTTGAGGACACTTCCATGCAAGAACTTTCCCCAGTTTGAAATCCTTTTTGGAAGCATGCATGACTTTGGTCTGACTGAAGAACTTTGGATTTTTCCTTTTCTTTGAAACTAGAGAAAATCTGTTTTCTAGGCAAGGGTGTCCCTCTGCTGAGTTTGTAGACAGCTCATTTCCCCATTTGTAACTCTTATCTCACTCTGCATCTTGCCTTTATGATTTCAGTTGGGTTTACCAAATATTTCAACAGAAAGGGTGGCTGGATGGTTTTGAAGCTTTCACATGAATCACTCGAGGTTTAGAGAAATGCTCTCAGCAGGAAATAAAAACATGGATTTGGAGGTGGGGAAGGAAAGTAGCCATACATTTTATTTCCATTTTCATTGAGTGGGAAGGGGGGATATTTTTTTCTTTCTTCAGGACCTATGGAGCAATCCTCTGTTCCTTGTTTTTAGCATGGCATTTCTTTTCTAAGGTCTTAGTTGATGGAAACTGAAGGTAAATGTATAACAAGATTGGAAGAGACCTTGGAGATCTTCTAATTCAACGCCCTGCTCAAACAGGAGACCCTATACCATTTCATTTGTTCAATCTCTTCTTAAAAACCTCCAGTCATGGATCTTCCATAACTTCTAGAGGGAAGCCATTCCACTGATTAATTGTTCTCACTGTCAGGAAATTTCTCCTTAACTCTACGTTGGATCTCTCTTCTGTAAGTTTTCATCCTTTACTTCTTGTCTTTGTGGCAGCCCCTCAAATATTGGAAAACTATTATCAAGTCATCCCTAATCCTTCTCTTCATTAGACTAGACATACCCAGCTTCTGCAACCATTGATTGTACATTTTATCCTCCAGTCTCCTATCATCTTTGTTGCTCTTCTCAGCAATCTTTCTAGAGTCTCAACATCTTTTCTGTACCATGCTGACCAAAACTGGACACAGTATTCCATGTGTGGTCTTACCAGTGCAGTATAAAACTGTACTAACACTTCACGTGATCACGATACTATCCTGTTGATACAACCTAGGACTGCATTGGCTTTTGTGGAAGCTGCAGCACACTGTTGGCTCATATTTAAGTGGCTGTCTGCTGAGCGACCAGCCAGATACATAATGACTAAGTATAGGTTGTCCTTGAGTTACGAGTGTAATGGAGCCTTCCCATTCCACTCGTAACTCGAAAACTCGTAGAGTGAATCTTGTTCCTTTAGCGAGATTACTCTCTTGCTTGTTAAAACACACATGGCTCATTAAATAAACATGCGGTATCTCAGGGTGGGGAAAGGCATGGAGGGCCTAGTGCTGAAACAGGCCCCCAAGACCTCCCCGACACAGTAAGATACCACATGCTTCCCCCTCCCTTCCTGCCGCACCAGACTCACCTGGAAAAGATCTGTCTCTTTTCTGTCACAGTTCCTGCTGCCGCCCGGATCCAGAGGCCTTTTCCAGGCCACTGCAGCTCGGATCTGAAGCCGGGGAAGCTTTTGCAACCCCCCTGCAGCCTGATCCAGGCTCCGGAGGCCTTTTCCAGGCTGCTGTGGCCTGGATCTGAGGCCAGGAGAAACTTTCACACCCCCCACAGCCCAATCCAGGCTCTAAAGGTCTTTTCCAGACCCGACTGGGTTGCGGGGTGGTCACGGAAACATTCCCCGGCCTCAGATCCGAGCCGCAGCGGCCTACAAAACTCCTTAGGAGCCTGGATCGGGACACAGGGACGTCGCGAAAGTCTCTCCCGGCCTCAGATCCGGGCCGCAACAGCCTGGAAATGTCTCCAGATCCCAGATCGGGGGGGGGGATTTCCAAGCTGCTGCTGCCTGGAACAGAGTTTCCAAGGACCTGATCCAAGCCTCCGGAGGCATGCAGAAGTCGCCCCCAACCTCTGTTCCTGGCGCAAATGGCTAGGAAAACCCCTCCGAGGCTTGGATCAGGCCCTTGGAAACTCCGTTCCAAGCAGCAGCAGCTTGGAGCAGTCCTCCAAGGGCTAGATCTAGCCTCTGGAGGCATGCAGCAGTCCCCCCCAACCTCCGTTCCTGGAGCAAACAGTTAGGAAAACGCTTCCGAGGCTTGGATCAGGCCCTCGGAAGTTCCATTCTGGGTGGCAGCAGCTGTTTGCGCCAGGAACGGAGGTTGGGTGAGACTTCTGCATGCCTATGGAGGCTGGATCCAGCCCTCAGAGGACTGCTCCAAGCTGCTGCTGCCTAGAACGGAGCTTCCAAGAGCCTGATCCAAGCCTTGAAAGGCATGCTTGGAGGAAGGCTCCAGGGACAATGGGGTCACTTTCTGCCCCAGCGCAGCAAGCTCTGGCGGGCTGGGCACGGGTGCGAGGAGCCTGGCCTTCTCCCTCAGTTGAAAGCTTCAGGCTTGCTGTCAGACAGAAAGGAGTTGGGGGCAGGAGCAGGAGACAGGCACCTTTTGCATAGAGAATGAAAGTCTCTGAGGTCCGTGATTTGGCACAACTTCAAACATTCACTTGAGATCAAAGACTCCAGAAACTTCCATTCTCAATGCAAAAAAACACTTCCAAGCCGACTCTCCTCTCCTTCAAAGGGAAAGAAACTGCAGCAGAGAGGATATTTGTAAGATAAATGAATCCGGTGTGGCAGGAAGGGAGGGGAAAGCAGTTGTGAGGAGTGGGGGGAAGGGAGGGAGAAGGAAACAGGGTGAATGTTGCAGTGCCACTCAGGTTGCTCTTAAGGGCGAATGACTACCATGTTGCTGCAATATTCATAACTTCAGGACTTGCTCGTAAACACTAGGAGGCGCTCATCACATATCTTCAAACGAGCATTAAGTGAATGCTCATAACTCGGGAATTATCTATATAAATGATATTTGAAATCACCATTTGTTCAATATGCAGTCTACATTGGGGATTCTAATAAAGATCAGCTTCAAAAAATATCCAGATATGCATGATCTGGAAGGAATATCACATAAATAACTTACATTACTTGACTACAGATATACCATGTCTGACCTTAACATAAAGGGGAACAAGTGCATATTTATTACAGTTGGCTAACATATATATCTATTTACAGAAGTGTTTATATTCTGATCCCAACAAAGCTAGCAAAGTTACCTTTTCTGAGAATGCTTCATAGCAATGTGGATGGGATAGCCCAGAGCTCCCAAGTTATTGCACTTGGCATGAACCTTTAGAAGAGAGTAGACTGCATCTTCTTTGCCCAGCTGGCAGGCCAGGTGCAATGGACTCTGCCCCTCATTATTCAGATGGTCCAAAGCAACAGTTGCTTTCTTGCCTAGGAGCTGAACAATTAAACAAGTTCACTTGTGACTTTCAACTCCTCTTTCCAGATGTGTTCTCCCCAATTTCCCAGTCAACATTTTACTTTTACTTAAGGGAATGCTTTAGCATTACTCAGAATCATTTCAAACCTCTTGAAATATATACAGAAGAGAATCATTTATCTTGATAAGGATGTTGATGATTTTTAAGAGACACAAATCAACTAATATGGACTCTTTACAGTAACATACACTGCTGTGTTTATAGTTCTTGAAAGAGTCTGGTAATAAATTCTTCTTATCTATGTAGAGCAGTGGTTCTCAACCTTTTTAATGCTGCGACCCCCAACCGGTTGTAAGTCGAGGACTACTCAACTGGTACAGCACCGTTTGCAGAATGGGACTTTTGGCGGGCTCAGCAGGGCAGAGACAGTCTGGACAATTCCTATTGGCTTTTGAAAGTCAATAGAGTTAGACTCTATTCAAGAGAGTCTTTCAAAAGCCAATAGAATAAAAGGGAGTAGCACAGCTAAGGAAAAGGGGAAAAAAATGGCGTAATGCGTTGTTTGGCGACCCCCGTGAAATGGTCGTTCGACCCCAAATGGGGTCCCGACCCACAGGTTGAGAACCACTGATGTAGAGCATTATTGTCCTTTTCATGTTCATTTTTTATCCATTAATCTATATATACTATAAATCCCTTCATAGAGTAATTCAAAATTATACAGATGATTTTGTTCAAAATCTTAAATCTCCGAAAGTTCTTCACCGATTGCTTTGAAATTTTGACACAACGTTGCATTCGAATAAGTGTGTGTTTTTATATACCTACTAGATATCACACTTATAGATGTCATTCCTGTGACAGGTAAAAACATCCTTTTTTTGAAAAACAGCACCAGCAAACCAGACAATCTCTATATCTGCACAGACAATGGAACAACAAAAAATATTGTATACCCACAAGCATTGTGAAATTAAACATATTACAAACGTGCGCTTTCTCTTTTCTTTCTTTTCCATTTAACTAGACTGAGCCACAGCAATGCGTGGCTGGGTACAGCTAGTGCTAAATAAATCTTTTTATTGTGTATTCCATTATCCATTAAAAATAGGAAAGTCTCTTAAAGTATAATATTATAGAAGTATTACTAGTACTTCATCTGCAAATAAATTAATTTTGAAAATAAATTTAATTTTCATTTATTCTGTCTTGCTACTTGTAAAGATTTTTTTGTGATTGCAAATATTGACGGACAACTTTGGTTTAAATATATTTTAATATCTGATTTTAAGCACTTTAGTTTTAAATGAACCTTTTTTGAACCATATCAAAGATATAATAATTCATGTTATATCCAAAAAGAAAAAAAACTACATTGCAAATAATCAAATTCTTCCCATCATCCACAAAAGTTACTACTTACTTTTCTTCAGTGTTCAAATTGACAGTGTTCGAATTTCTGCAAACAGACCCTCAAACCCATTGTGGGAATTTGGGGATGGGGAATATTTGAAAACAGAATTGATGGACAGGAGAATACATCGCATAGGTGAGACAAGCATTAAACAGTTTCCCTATATAGTGCATATATGTGCACATATATAGAGGAGTGCATATATAAATAAGATGCATAGATGCAAACTTCTGCTTTCCCTGCACTTCAGATAGGCTAGGAAAAGGCAAGCATTTCCTTCCCTCATGGTCATTCATTTCCCCCCCCCCCCAACAATTTCACTCCCCCTGTGTAAAACAATTCAAGACAAGAACAGGATCATACATCTCACAGTTTGCAGTTCTGTTGCACTTTACTGAATCACAAGCAAGCTTCACTGGGAAGAAGAGTCGAGCAACTCTTCATCTCTTCCACATTTGCAAAACTCCATTCCGCCCTTCCTTAGACTTACACCATTTCATTCTACCTTATGATTTCCTCCTGCTAGTGGGAGACTCCTTAAACTCTCACCTCTATAATCTTTGGGTTGCTCCCTCGAACAGCATAATGGAAGACAGTTTCTCCATTTCTGTCTGTAAGATCAACACGGGCATGGCACTCCTCCATCAGCTCCTTCAGACATTCAAAATCACCTTTTTGGCAGGCTAAGTGAAGTGGGGTGCATTCATTGTCAGAACTGTTGCTATTTATGCAGCTAAAACAAAGAAAGAGTAATGCTATGTATGCAGTCTTATGTACAAAACCAGCCAGCCTACCCAAAGATTTTTTTTTTTCAAAAGTTGTGGCATTATCTGATTTTTTTTCAATCTTGCTGCTTCTTCTATTTATTGTGATTCAGGTCATAATTGCAAATAAATTGCTGAACATTTGTAAAGCATTTGTGTTTCCACTACCATTTTCAATATGATAAAAGAAATCCTTTAAAAATTATAGTTTTTTTACTTAAGAGCTAAAACACAACAGACTCTGGATCTTTACTGCTGAAGTATCTTGAACCACCCATGAATGGAAGATACATTGTTATGTACTGGTAGATTTCTGAATAATCTGAAATAGGTCAAAAATTGGAAATTTGTGGTTTTTCTAAGCAATTTTTTAGATCTTTTCAATTGTGTTCTATAATCATTCTGATTTGTATTCCAATAATACAATAATGTACTGTTTTAATAAATCAGTGTAAAGTATTAGGTTATTAGCTCAAACAGACAAGTTGCTAGGTTTTAAATAAAATAAAATAAAATAAAGTTAAAGTCGGCCTTAAATCAGCTCATAACTGGGTTCACATTTCATGCTAAATTACTGTTTAATACAGGGGTCTTCAAACTCGGCCCTTTTATGATTCATGGACTTTAACTCCCAGAATTCCTCAGCCAGGAACACTGGCTGAGGAATTCTGGGAATTGAAGTCCATGAGTCATAAAAGGGCCAAGTTTGAAGACCTCTGGTTTAATACATCACAGCCAACCAGATCCATACCATAGATGAGCCAAAGAAGGAGTCTACTGGATCAAGCCAATAATCCATCCAGTCCAGCATTCTCTGTCACATGCTGTCTAACCATATGCATTCAGGAAGTTAACAAGATGTGCACAGGAGGACGGAAGCCTTTTTCACTATTGTTTCTTAGCAGTTGGCACTAACAGTAACCACACTGGCTATGGGTGGTTATGAAGATAGTAAATAGCCATCAAACCTACTACTGTAATCACTGGAATCCCATTCTTGACTCTTCCCTTCCTTTTTAAAACCATCTGAATTGTTGGCCAACAGTACATCTCATGGCAGCAAATTCCACATTTTAATTATACGTTAAGTCAATTCACAATACTTTTTATTAGGCTTGAATCTCTATATATTTAGCTTAATGGGTGAACCTGACTTTTAAGGTTAAAAGGGAGAGAGAAAAACATTTCTTTGTCCAAGCACAGTTTTATACAATTCTATCAGGACTCTTCTGACCCATCTTTGCTTAAGTAGGAAAAAAAATCAAATACTGTGGCTTTTTCTTACAGAGAAGCTGCTCTAAGTACTTGTATTTTAGTTCTTTTTTCTTTTTTTGCAGAACAACAACAACAAAAGTTGGAAGGGATGTTGGAGGTCATCTAGTCCAACCCCCTGCTCAGACAGGAAACCCTATGGCATTTCAGACAAATGGCTGTCCAGTCTCTTCTTAAAAACTTCCAGTGTTGGAGCATTCACAACTTCTGGAGGTAGGTTGTTCCACTGATTAATTGTTCTACTAACATTCAATTTATATATTGAATGTTTTATTTTCAGTTCCCTTACCAATCATTCCAATCTGATTATCTTTGTTTTCTCAATACTGTTCAAAGTTATAACAGCAATGAAAAAAGTGACTTATGACCATTTTTCACACTTAAATCCTCTGCAGCATCTCCATGGTCACGTGATCAAAATCCAGACACTTGGCAACTGATTCATATTTATGACTGTTACAGTGTCCCGGGATCATATAATCTCTTTTGCAACCCCTAACAAGCAAAGTCAACGGGGAAGCCAGATTCACTTAACAACCATTTCACTAACTTAACAACTTCAGTGATTCACTTGACAATTGTGGCAAGAAAGGTCATAAAATGGGGCAAAATTCACTTAACAAATGTCTCGTTTAGCAACAGAAATGTTGGGCTCAATTGTGGTTTATAAGTCGAGGACGACCTGTAGTTGTGTGCTCATTGACATTATCACCAAGTTATAAACCATGACTCCAAGATCTCTTGTTATTGGTCGGCTCAGATTTGATTACTCCACCTATGATGGTTGGGGAGTTTGTGCCCATGTCAAACTATTTGGTACAAAAGGCCTATCCCACATCATACCTCAGAATGAGATTGTGTCGGAAGCTTCCCAGAAGTCCAGACTCTACAGCTATGTGTGCTAGTGACCAGCTGGGGTGACTTCGCAAACAGTCGGTCAGCTGTTGCAAAGTTTCCAGAGGCAAAGGATCATGATAGCTCTCATAGAAGGGACGCAACTGCTTTGCATACAAATCAAAATATTCACGTGCACTTGGTTCACTGTCAACTTGAAAAAGCCTACAAAGGAAAAGGTTTTAGAACTTTTATAACCTTTTATAACCTTTCTATGGCTGTAAATAAACTGGAAGTCAATGCAACTGCCACAAAAATCACCCCAAATCTTGAAATTTGAGAGAACAGAAACTGAGGCACCTCACAATCGATTTCAAAAGCCGTTCCATATAAACTTTATTAAAAAGAGCTAAGTATATGCATAAAAAATATGAAACAAGGAAGCCAAATAATTCACAAATGTAAAGAAAAAATTGCATGGCAACAGGAAATTCAAATATTTTCTTTATTCTTTCAAAACCTGTAGCCTTTACTAAAGCAGAGGAAAAATATTATGTTCTCTCATTACCTGCCAGCTATGTACATAATCAAAAATTTACTGGGTTGCAAAATTGTGCAGTATCTCACCAAGAAACTAGTAGTGCTGAAGCACGTTTTAATTTCTTTGTCATTTTGCAAAGAACAAACCACCTTTTATCAAGCAGTTAAGAACAAATCCAGTCTTTTGTTTCTGTGTCAGATATGAAGCCAATTCCCTCACTCACCTACAGCAACCAGAAACAAAAAGCATATTTCTGTTCCTCTACATGCCTTCCAAGCCATCATTCACATCTTCTTTTGCATTTCTCTGTTATCAACCTCCCATATGAATAGATAAAAGATAATTAATAAATAAATAAATAATAAAACAAAAAATCTGTTACCTACCTTAAGGCAGAACTTTGATTCTGAGGGTGAATAAGCAGACAATCCCAGGATCGAGCTGAACTGTTTTCATACAAGACTAACCTATCTTCTTGTTTAACGATGTTCCGAGAAGTATATTCTGTCAGGGATACTTCCTTTACCCGATGAGGGTTTGTGAACAAGTGAGTGACATTGTTCAGAGTATGGACAAGTCGTTCAAAGAACTGCATGCCTCAAAAATATGTCCTGAACAATCTTCTTTCAATACTCTGGCAACAAAGAAAAATTCTTTATTCCCACAATATCAAGGACATTCACTAACTCTGATCTAGCATAACCATTAATCTCTCCATCAGTTACTGCAGTGTGTAATGGTGTAAGATGGATCAGCCTTACTTGTATGGAGCCCACTACTTATGTTCACTGGATTGGGGAACTCAAACTGGTTTAGTGGTTAAGTCACCAGGCTAGAAGCCAGAAAACTATAAGTTCTAGTCTTACCTTAGGCAAGAAAGCCAGCTGAGTGACTTTGGGTCAGTCACTCTCTTTTAGCCCAACTCACCCCACAAGGTTGTGGTGGTGGTGGAAATAGGAGAAAAAGGAATACTGGGTGTGTTTGCCACCTTGAGTTATTAAATAAAAAAAAAGCAAATAAACAAGCAGACTCTGGTTAGAAATATCTACTATGAAATTCATCCAATGCTGAAGCAACTAAGTAGCCAAAACAAGAGGACCAGAGATCAACAGGCTGAAAAATGGTCTTTTATGACCAGTCTTCGTAAATGAACAAGACAGTTTGGCTTGTGCAGCCTATTTCCATATTACAAGTCTACATTGAATAGAATTTAATTAAAAAGGAAACTTTACTTAATATCCTTGCATCCTTCATAGACCTAAGAGTTTGGTTCCAAAGGCAAACTCCTTCTAAGAGATGTTAATACATTAATTTAATTTTAATACAGAAAATATTAAGTAATTTGTAATTCAAACCACATTGGATAGATTATTTATTTATTGCACTATTTGCAATAAATAGTGATTTATTGCACTATTTGCAATGAAAATATTAGTACTGATATTTTGGAGCCCTGTTTTAGCTCTGGAGGATTTAGTTAGTAGAAAACATGTCTGTTCTCCCTGCACTATACTCTGCGGAATCATTCTACCATTCAGCTGGTGAAGATCTTCCTTTTTCACTTCCATGGGAGCAGCTCTCCACAAAATTAATCTCCAGTGCAGTGACCTTTTGGTGAAATCAGTGCATTTTGGGGCATGGCAGAGTTCTTCATTAAGACAAAACAGTTAATATGCAGTAGATTCTTCTTTATAAATATTGTTTAAGAGACATAATTTGAGTCTTTTCTTAAAGTAAATTTTGAACCAAAAACATTCTGGCAGATTATATGCTATTTGAAGCAATGTTAAAAATAGTTTGGGTTGCTGTAGTTAATGTTTGTATAATTATGTTCTGCTTTCTTCTATTTGTTTTCAGGGTAATTTTTTTATAAGAAAAAATGGCAAACAATTTTGATTTAAATTAATTATATATTAATACATTTCCTTATTTGTCTCTTGAGAAACCTATATGCGGGTCAAGAAGCAACAGTGAGAACTGGACACGGAACCACTGATTGGTTCAAAATTGGAAAAGGAGTCCGGCAAGGCTGTATACTGTCGCCCTGCCTATTTAACTTATATGCAGAGCACATCATGAGAAAGGCAGGGCTAGATGAATCAAAAGTTGGAATTAAGATTGCCGGGAGAAATATCAACAACCTAAGATATGCAGATGATACCACTCTAATGGCAGAAAGTGAAGAGGAACTAAAGAGCCTCTTGATGCGGGTGAAGAAGGAGAGTGCAAAAGTTGGCTTGAAACTCAACATTAAGAAAACCAAAATCATGGCATCCGGCCCTCTCAATTCCTGGCAAATAGATGGGGAAGAAATGGAGGTAGTGACAGATTTTATTTTTCTGGGCTCAAAGATCACCTCAGATGGGGACTGCAACCAAGAAATTTGCCATAGCTTTCCTGGGGAGGAAAGCTATGGCAAATCTAGACAGCATACTAAAAAGCAAAGACATCACCCTACCAACAAAAGTGCATATAGTCCAGGCCATGGTTTTCCCAGTTGCAATGTATGGCTATGAAAGTTAGACCATAAGAAAGGCTGAGCGCCAAAGAATTGAGGCCTTTGAACTATGGTGCTGGAGTAGACTCCTGCGAGTCCCTTGGACTGCAAGGCATTCAAACCGGTCAGTCCTAGAAGAGATCAACCCCGATAGCTCTTCAGAAGGCCAGATCCTGAAGTTGAAACTCAAATACTTTGGCCACCTAATGAGAAGGAAGGACTCACTGGAGAAGGGCCTAATGCTGGGAAAGATTGAGGGCAATAGAAGAAGGGGACGACAGAGAATGAGATGGCTGGATGGAGTCACTGAAGCAGTAGGTGTGAACTTAGATGGTAGAGGACAGGAAGACCTGGAGGAACGTTGTCCATGGGATCACGATGGGTCAGACACTTCGCAATTAACAACAACAACATTTCCTTGGTATGCAAACATTGGGAAGCCATATCCAAACTCTAGTATATCTGAACAAATTCAGCACTGTATACTAATTTGCAGTGTACATCATAACATATGCTGGACTTGTATGCTTTTTTTTTAAATGATTCTATGCCAAGGATTCATAGTACAGATTTGCTTTGAGTATACAAACCAATGACAAGAACAAGTGTACCTAATTTTTATTCAGACTACTTTCTTCTTTCTTTGGTTTTATGGTTTTACTTGCACAAGACCAAGGAAAAATATAAGAAGCAGTCTTCTACTCACTCTTTAAAAATATACATGGGAAAAGGAGAAGTGAAATCTAATTCAACAATATTAGAAAAAACCAGCAAAATCTTGAAAGCTATTCTTGGAATTTTCGGAGTAGTATTTGTTGTGTTTCTTTCTTTACTAATCTAACCTTGCATCTTCCTGGGGGGGGAGATTATTATTGCATTACAATGGAACAGGGGAAAGCATTTAAGGAACATTATGATAAAGCATTTTTTGACATCACAAATATTTCCATTTGTCTATTTCTATGCTTTTGAATTATATACAAGCTTCTATTAGTGTAACTCAGAAACTTGTTCTTCATGCTAAAAGGAATACCATGGAACCAAAGGGGAAACTTTTCACATCAGAAGAGCATTTTCTTCACTGCTGAATTTAATGGTACATATTCTGTACCACCATGCAAAATCTTTTTTTTTTTTCAGTTAAGGCTGACAACCCTTTCAGAACCCATTAAAATAACAACCCTTTCTAAGTGGCTTTTTAAAAAGAAAGTTCTAACAAATTTCCTCAAGATAAAATAAATTATCTAAGTCTTGTTTAATGAAACAAATGCACATGTCCCTAAATCAGTAAGTTAATTTTGAAAAGACCGATATATATGTGGAAACGATGATTTTTATCATTGTAAAATTTTAATTATTCTGTCAGCTGCTGATTACAATACTTTTTACCTTTTCAAACAAAGGCATGAGAAATATTAATCCTTGTATTTTCAAGTGTTTCAAGTGACTTAAAAGCCCTTGAAATAAATAAAGTCATCTTTGGTTTATTTAAAAAACGATTAACTAGATTCATATAGCTCACCAAGTAAATCAAATAACCTAATTTCTAGCTAACCACAATATGCCAATATAATTTATGCAGTTTTATTTAGAAACCACCCTTTTTCCTGGTAGGGTTTTTTCCTTTAAGATTTTGCAGGAGATAAAAACCTCACACTTCCAAAGCTTTTTTGGTTAAATTGAAAGTCCCCATTTCCAGAGTGGCTGAGGATTGTAAAATTACGAAGGAGAAACCCTATCCAGCATTTCTTTCGGAAGATAAACTCACACTGTAGTAAATTAAGGACTATGTCAAAGTATTATAATTCTCCAACCCCAGAACCAAATAACGGATTGAAGGTATATCGGAATCTATTGAGGCATCTTTGAATAATCTGCAATAGGTTAACACAATTTTCTTTTTCCTAACGGCAAAAGGCCTTCTTTGGAGGATTTTTAAAAGGAAAGTTGGGAGGAAACCAGGAATAATATGCGAAAACTCGTGTTGAACTAATTTCCTAGGTTGTGCTTCGGAGCTCAGAGGTACCAGTTTCTTAATACCCTTTTCTGATCCCCTTTGCTTCCAGAAATGTTTTCCAACAAGCAAAATCCGGATTTTAAATACTGCTAACAAGCAAAGCCTCCCAAACTTTCTCTCTCTTGTGAAACCTCGGACTCACCTCCTACTTAGCTATTATTCACCCAGCTATTTCCGCCAACAAAGTCCCAGTTGCCTCACGTGATCGCGTCTCTACCAATCATGAACTGCTGCCTCGTTGATGACTCACAGGATCTTCTTAACAGAGCGGCAATGCTTACGCACGGACGACCATTACGCCTCGACGTGGAGGAAGCAAATCAGCCATCTTTATGCCAGGCGGATGTTAGTTTAATACAGTAGAACCGAAGCCGCCATGTTTGTAAAGGGTGGGGTGTAGGACGTAGAGTTCTGCTTCCATCTTAATCTGTTTTCGTGTTTACGGTGTCGTAACGTTGGCGACGTGTTGAGTCGAGAGCAAATAATAAAAGCTTATTGAGGACTAGAAGCATGGGAGAAAATGTATACAGAGGATTACAACGGGAAGATGCAAAATAAAGACTCCCAGAATGAAATGCGGGATATAGATAAAAATGAAGTTTTCTCATTGGTGCGAAGGTTGCAAAGCCTAAATCCCACTGAATGCAATACCCGCTAGCACTGCAAACCGGAGACTGAGTCAGGCTAAAGTTGATTCGGGCACCATAGGCTCTTTATGGGTAGTACAGGTAGTCCTCGACTTACAACAGTTCATTTAGTTACAATGGCACTGAAAAGTGACTTATTTATCATTTTTCACATTTATGACTTGTGGCATCCCCATTATTGCTGAACTAGTACAGGCATACCCTGGAAATATTGCAGATTTGGTTCCAGATTGTGGCAATAAAGTCTATATCACAATAAAGTGAGTTGCATTAATTTTTTGATTTTCCAGTGCATATAAAAGTGGTATCTATATTAGACTGTAGTCTATAAAGTGTTCACTATATCTAAAAAGATGTACATATCTTAATTTAAAAAAATCTTAAAGAATGGTAATAATAGAAGGTTTTGTTAAAAAAAAAATCTGCAAAGTGCAATAAAGCTAAGTATAATAAAATTGGGTATACCCAGGGCTTTTTTTCTCATAGAATGCCCAGAACGGAGTTCCGGCACCTTTTTTGAATTAAACCTTGTAGGGTAGGCAAGGCGGATTGTATGACGTGTGTGAGTTCCAGCACCTTTTTTTTTTTTTTTAGAAAAAAAGCACTGGGTATACCTGTACATGTGTTTTTTTTTCCAAACACCTGATAATAACAGTATCTGAGTTTATATTTCTAACTATTTTGATGTGATAAGGATTACAAATTTTAAAAATAAGCATACATCATTTTGCCTTCTCTGCATCATGAAACTGGTATATTGAAGGAGAAACAAATGTCTATATATCATTACATTAACTCATGAATAACTGCAACTGTAATTGAAAATTGCAAAAAAAATGAAAAGTCTGTGATTGATATTAATTGGTAAGAACCTCACATTTACTGAGGGTAAGGCTATCAATGGCGCCTATATATTTCCAAAATCAAAGGTTATGTTTTACAACAGATTAATGCATGATAGTAAAGTCATAGTTTGTTGAACTGATTATGTTGACTGGGGTCTCATGATAAAATATCCAATCACCTTTCAGAGTGAAATATTTTGTAAACACAGTTCCAGTTGTTAAGGTTGTTGAACAAGCGAATGTACATCCGACAGGAATTGGTTGTTTATTGTAGTAGGTAGACAAGATGAACTTCGTTACCAATTTAGGAGAGATGTCTTTATATCCTTATCACAGTGATTATCAATGATTTTGTTTAAATTCTACAATTTTGAATATTTTATCTTACATAAACATTAACCCAGCAACATTGTTAAAGACTTAGCTTGAGTCCACACAGTATATTATGATATAATATGGTTTGTGTTGTGTTATGCACCCAACCATTGTAATATATGTGTACATATAAATATTACTTACCATGATGTCTAAATGTAGCCTTACTCAACAAACTGTGTTTTAAAAATTACACAGTATATATTTAATATCATTTTATTCAGTTTAGTTCCAGTGGGCACTATTTAGATAGCCTTGGTTTGTTTTGTTAATGTATGATAAAAGAAGTTATGATAAAAATCAGTGTAATAAAAAATGAATTTCCTACACACAGATGATACTGTTCTGCATGATGATATATGGTGTGGTGATTCTTACTCATTTTAGTGACTAATGTTAGTCATGAAAATCATCCTTCAAAAAAGCCAGCATTTACTTGCACATATTCCTGTCTTTAACTTTATGTTACTATTATGTAAGAATGAAGCTGAACTTTAAAAAACAAAACAAAATTGTTTGGTATGAAGAAATGGAACTTGTTGGTTGAGTTTAAATAGCAACATTTTCTTAATCATGTCTAGAAGTGAGGCAGGTCTGGGTGCAAATTTGGAATATTAGATGTTTACCTACACAATATTCCTATTCTTGCTTTGTAACATTGAATGCCATTTCTGAGGCTATGAAAGACCACAGTCCTCTTTAAGAAAAATGTAAAGCATTCCATAATGGGCATGCTAGCTACAGATGTACTGTATTCCAATACTAGAAAAGGTGGACTCAAACAGATCTATCCAAGTGCCAAGCCTTGAGCTATTCAAACATTTTCAGAGGAAACAATAGAATCCCTTTAGAAGTAAATTGCAGTGCTTTGGAAAACAACCCATTCATTCTGAACACCTGTTATTGTTGAAACAGTTTCCCATAGCCTGCTTTAAAAGACGAAGCACCAACACTGCAATCTGATATATTTTGGAATTTAGTAGTAGTACAAATCTAATATATCTATATGCTACTAGAATTCTCATCATGAACTTTAACTGGGTGAAATGGTGCGTAGAGGGCAACAGTTTCTGAAATAAGGCTATCTCCAATGGACTAATTTACAGAAAGAGTCTAAAATCTGGGGCCCATTATTCCTGAAAAAATGAAATTTGGGGAAAATGTGGCTGCTCCAATGCTACTGGCTGCTGCTGCACTGCTATTGCAGTCACGTCAAATTCATTTTCAGGGTTCTATAACAGTTTTCCAGCAAGTCTTGCAATCCCTTGCTCCTTCCCCAGCCAGCAGAAGCCACTTAAGCTGCCTGCTAGAAAGGGAAGGGAAGAAGATTTCTGACACTCTTGGCAGATTCCCATGAGAAAACTCAGTGGGGAAGCCAACAGGAAATCACTCCTGCTCACACTTCTTTTTTGCCTATCCTTGGTCATTCTGTGTCTCTGTTTAAGAAAGGAAATAATGTATCTCTGAAATAGTGACCCAATGGGGTATTGGTTACACCAATGTTAATTGATAATAACTAAGGTTCGTCCTTTTTATAGAAATATCTGTTCTGAAGCAAGACACTTGAAGCTATACTTATTGTTCTGAGAGAAATATTGATCCAGTCTTTTGCTACTGTAGATCACAAGAGTTCATTACAGCATTACTTTGGGATTTTATTTTGTGTAGGGTGCTGGATACAGTTCAGTGTACTGATTTTGACCTTTAAAGCCTTTAGCAGTTTGGTCCTACCACGTCCTCTTCATCTTTAAGCCATCATAAAACTATGAACTTACAGATATGATTTCTTCATCTTTAAGTAGTAGACTTCTTGTTTGAATATTCAGATACCCTACTCCACCAAAAGACTTTGATATGCATCAGAGGACAACTCTCCATCTTCTAGGACTGCTGAGTTCAAATCTAGTTTAAAGAAAATCAGGTGAATAGCAAGGACTTTTCATTGTGTTGAGCAGCATAGCACAACAACAGCCCCCGGACAGACACAAATTAATAGATACAAAGTTCATTTCATTACAGCTTTCTCTGTTGTGGTCAGAGATACTATATTACTATTTAAATAGTAGTAATTGTATGTTATTTTTATTTAGTTACTTATTACAGTAGTTTGTTATTAAATATAAATTCTGTGCTTGGGTGAACATTAGAGGTGATTTTTTGAAGTGTATTTATCAATTACATTATACACTCTACCTTTCTTCCTTGACCTCTGAAAGCACTTCAACTCCTATGGATGCACCTGGAATCTGTTTTTATTTTGTACTCACAACTATTGTGCAAGTACTTGAACTGAGAGACGAACTTAGTAAATTTTCATGACTGAGAGTGAAAGTGGAGTTTCCCATCCCTAGTCTAATGCTATTACTCACTGCATCACACTGACATGCATTTTAATTAAAATCTGTATTCTTTATTATGCATTCCTCCCTCATCCCCATTCCAGGTTTTTTTGCTGATGCTCACACGGCCTCTTTAACACTGAATAGTTAGATCAGCAAAAAGTATATAACAAAATGTTCTTGAAAACTGAAGGACAATAGCCTCTATTAATTTATCAAAGTGTAAACAGAGTTCAGGGAGGCCAGTAAAACTTCTTTTCCAGATGGTCATGATATGCAAATTGCATTGTGCAGATGTGACCTTAATCTAAAACAGGGCTTTTCAACCAGTGGTACAGGTACATTGTGGTACATTGGCACCTGGCAGGTGGTACGCGACCATCCTAGAAAAGTGGTAGCAGGGGAGGGGAATGAGCTGAACCGGTGGCAGCACCGCCCAAGCCTGAGTGAGAGATGGCTGGAGCTGCAGGGCTGTCAGAGCTCAGTGGAAGTGCCAGGATCAGCGCCAGGCTCCAGCTGGAGCTCGGCGCTGATCCTGGTGCTTCCACTGAGCCCTGAAGAAATGCCGATCAGCTGGAAAATTGCAGCATCTTCAGGCTCTTGTGATTTACATTCAGATGCTTGGCAACTGATTCATATTTATGACAGTCACAGTGTCCCAGGGTCATGTGAAGTGACCAAAACCTGCTGCAACCACCCAGCAGATGGGGGGAATAAAAACCAAACACCCCCCACCCCCGCTGACAATCCTCAACAGAAATCTCACAATAATGGAACCCTCGGCCAGGAGGAAAAGCGCGGTCAGGTGGGCAGGCACGTGTCTTGCTCAGCTGTGGCTTGGGGGGCACTTTTTTCAACGCCATTGTAACTTCAAACTGTCTCATTTTATGATCACATCGCTTAGCAATGGAAATTCTGATCCCACAAGTAGTCGTAAGTAAAGGACTACCTGTAAAAATAAATTATGGCAGTATTATGAAAATGCCCATCACTGAAAGAAGTGATGGATGGCCAATAGCGTTTTCTTTTTTGCCTCTCAGAGCCAGGGAGGGCATCGCTCTGAAGAATCTGGTCAGAAGGACCCAAAGGTTCTACCAATTAATTTTTTGCCCAGTAATGGTTTTGGACGGCACAACATTACAAATGATGAAGGCAGATGCATGAGACTACATTGTGTATGGGGCCTGAACAGGATGGTTCCAGCAAGCATCAGTCTCCTGAAGGGCTTTGGTATGCAGATTCCTTGCTCTGCAGTAGATCTAGGGCAAATTAAATTGATCGTGTAAATTGACACCTCCCGATATAAACAAAATGTATACAGTTTGGTAGTAGCTTGTTAGCATTCCTCAGCGTTTATTTTTGCACAGAAATATCTATTTGTAGCAAAGCATTGATTCTGAAGGCTAGCTACCAATTGTAAAACATTTGGTTGGTCCCTTTAAAAATAAATGCCCAGTACCAAGATGGCAGCTTCCTTTCATCATTCTTCAGTCTGTGCCCTTCACCAAGATGGGGAGGGAGGGGAAAGAATGATGTCATTGTATGACTGTGTTTTTATGAATGAAAAGAATCCTGTGAGTGAGTAATTCCAGGAAACTCATATTACAACTCAGCAGATCGCAGCGCAGCGCCCAACTCAGCCCTTCGCTTCGGAAAACAACTTCATTTAGGGAAATAAACAAGGCGCTTGGAAAGCTTAATTGTCAAGAAAACGCGGCCCCTCCGATTGCATAAAGAGGAAAACAGCAAACAAAAGGACGATTTGGTAGGCAGTAAGTGAATATTTCCTTTATAATCTAGTTTACAGACGTCAGGAACGGATGGTGGCTTGCACTATTCCAAAGTGAGGCTTTTAATGTCAGATGCGGAGAGGTGAAAGCGATGGAGAAAACTGTAGCAGTGTGGTTCATTGTGGATTGTTTCCGTGTGGTGAGGAGGGGCTGTCTGGTCTTGATTTTCCTCAGAGCTAGACAGTAATAGCCGTTTCTCGGGAGATGGTTTAATTTAGCTGATGTACAGTGCGTAGCTCTGTTATGAAGAAAGAATCCGGATTGGAGCAAAGCTTTTTTTTTTTTTTTTAAGAAGCTGTGTTGTGTTGATTTGCTTTCGTTTCACAGTTGCGAGGCAGCTATAAAGAGACAGGAAATCGCTTAATAAATAGTTGCTCGTTACATATTAGTCCTGTGTTTGCACGTGCTGAGGCCTCGGTCACATGTAAGAAGCCGTTTGGCACCAAAGCGAGTTCCGATGTGCGGGTGGGGTGTGGATTCCGCTGGAAAATCATGTGAATTGGTGTAAATCCGCCCTTTCCTTTCCTATCCTATCCCGCCAATAATATACGAGTTGACAATGGTTCGATTTTAACGATGGTGTATTGGCTTCAGAGGAATATTCAGATGAATTCGGGAGTCCCCGACGAAATAGGCTGAACCTCCAGAATAGGGCTGAATGCCTGATGACGCAGAGAAAGTGAAGAGCAAACGAAGGGTGACTTGGGAGTTTGGGGAACCAACCGTATAGATTTTCTGCATCGGCATTTAAAAACCTAAACAAAACTTGGCCTGAACTTGTGACTTCTGATTTTTTTTTTCTATCGGAAGACCCTGGGATTGCTTCCATGCATAGGGGTCCTAATTAATCCCCCACCCACCCCTATCTGGTTAAACTCCTTGAAGATCATGAAGGCTTTTGTTGTTGTTGTTGTTGTTGTTGTTGTTATTTACGCACATCTAGAGGGATGTCTTCAGTTTTAATTTGGGGTTATTTCCTCGTTGGTGCACCTCATTTAGATTAATAAACAAATGCACAATCCTACTTTGTTTTCAGTTTGGGATTAAAAAGATCTCCGGATTGTTTGGGGTTTAATTCTTTCTACAGGTTTTTTTTTTAAGTCATCAGTATAAATGACAAAGTTGTAAAACAGATCAAAGAGAAAAAGCAGAAGTAGAACAGCCATCTTTTGAAAGAGTGCTTTTAAAGCAAAGTCACAAAGGAGGAGTACTGTAAAGTCTTTCCCTAGTGCTAAAAGCAACCAGCATAGCAGCAGGTGGATTTCTCTGGAGAGAGTGGACAACAGATAAGGAAATGCTGCAGAGAAGAGCCAGGGTTATCCAAGGCTAATTGGATAACTAATGTACTGCTAATCTAAGAGACACTCAGTCAAGGACTGGCATCAACAGGTATTGTGATTTCAGTCTATAGTTACTAATTCACAAAAGAGCATGCATTTTGGATAAAGTGTTTGATATTATTTTTTATATAAAGATGGCCAATTGCCTTTTCCCCTGGAGCTTTGTAGCCTCTTGGTATACCTTTCCAATCCAGTGTCCCCCAAAATACATTGGCTATTGTCCTCTCATCCTCAGCCAGTGTAGTCACAAACATATCTAAAGGTCTGCAGGGTAGAGAAGAAACTTTTTTTCTCTCGAAAGGATACCATCTCTGTTAGATGTTGCATTGGAATTTCATTGAGGACAGGCTCATAGAGTTGCATTTTATATTTAGTGATAGTCATGCTGCTCTAACCATAGTTCAGTGATTATTAAGCTATTGAATTCTTTGGATGTTTTGTTTAATAACTCTGCTTTTGTGTTCTGCAAAAGTTCTGGTGTGCCAATTCACTTGAAAGCCTTATGTTTAATCTGTGGAGCAGGTGGTTTGTAGTTAACCATTAAAGAGAAAGAGAATTATAAGTAAATTGCAGATGGTAGAATGAAACAAGAAAACCAAGGCAAAATGTATCTCATAAATGTTTATTTAGGAAAAGGATTTAATCTGATCTCAAAGTTGCCTTCACTTGTGAGTAAAACAAAAACTTTATAAGCCTTGCATTGTTGAGTTTTTGGTTATGTGTAATTCAGCAGCAATAAAGATTCCTTTCCATCTAGACACCAAAATAAGTACAATTTCAATTATTCTCTGTCCTAGTTTAATGTAGCCTAAGAAACAAAAGGGAACTACTGTAATATTGTACAAAGTTACAGTTTTGCATTAATTCTGCTTGCTCCAATTTATAGACCCAACAATTTCTATCCATATATTTGTAGGCTTTCTCTTCTGTAAAAGTACATAGAACATATTGAAAGAGATCTTCCATTTTTCTAACTTCTACCATGTGTACCTGTATAGTATCACAGTTTTGAAAATGTACATTCCTCAAGATATATTGTTTTAGAATACAGTTAGATTTTACAGTTCTCATAATGACACATACATTCCTTTTATAAACTACAGGTGATATTTGTTTATAGATACTAAAGAACCTGTACTGGTGATGTGCTCCATCTTTTAATTATTCTGATTAAGCCTATATTTAGTAACACCTTGTGTGTCTATCTTTTTTTGAAACTACATTAACTCTCTCCAGGCTGGCGCCCACCAGATATATACAGTCATATTTTTCATAAATCCCTGGTAACTTGGCTTTTATAACTATAAACAGTCTGCATTTGAGTTTACATCTGAATAGATATCTATAGGATTCTACCTGGAAGACTAGATCAAGAAAAGCAATAGTAAAAAGTGCAGATTCCTGGCTCCCATTATCTATATAAGTAACCATCCAGTATTTAGCAATTTACCTAGTTTCCAAAGTCAACTTGCTGTTCTGTGCAGGTAAGTAAGCAGAGGGGTGGGGGTGGGGGTGGGAGATTCTCAGTAACTAGCAAGGAACAGTCTTTTTCCTGAGCAGAAGCATTTTAACCAAGGTTATTAACTTACTAACAGATATGTAGTTTCATTTCCAGGTTCAATTCAGAGGAGGCAGCTTCTCCTTTTTTGAAGCCTGTCTGGTAATGCAGGTTGCTTTTTTTAGTAGGCAAGTTAAAAATATGTAAACCTGCAGTTTTTGTTAGCTCATTTCAAGGCTGTTACCTTTGTATGAGAGACAACACTGAGGACCAGAATGTAGATTTCTAGTAACAAAATAAATGCACATTTCTAGTAACAAAATAAATCTATTATTCCTATCAAAATTATATGGCAGGCACAGAGTGAAGGAAGTTTGGGGATAATTAAGAGTTTGTGCAGAGAAGATCTTTGAACTTTGCTTGTACCTGATATAATTGCCAGGAATGGGAATATCTTAATTTATATGCAAGTCTCTTACATCAGATTGTCTTTGGTAGACTTTGGAATTATAGCAAAACTGAGTAGTTCTTATAATTGAAGGTCTCTTTGTTTTATTTAAAGAATAAACTGGAAGTTTGTTTTGTTTTCACCAGAGAATCTGTGGAAAGAGTTTGAGTGCTGAAATGAATTAAAGCTACCTGTGATGTGGTGTTTCATATGATCATTTCTATGTAGGGTTGGATGTTCAGACAGCTTTCCCAATTCTCATCCTTTGCAGTTATCTTAACCATTCTGGTGAAAACTATAGTCTAATACTGGAGTACAGTGATTAAAAAAGGCTGTTACATAAACCTGTGAAACTCATTTTATTGAAAGAGTGGACAAATCATGCTAAGACGTGGTTCATTTGACCATATCTTACAAAATAAAATGTAACTGGCTGAGGTGGGAGAATACTATGTTGTAACTATGATTTATAACCATAGTGGTTGGGTTTACACAATATATTAAGCCAGTTCTGGAAATGAGACTTCCTTGTTATGCCTTATAGATCCTAAAAAGCCCTCATCCCAAATCCCTTTACTATAATTAGAATTTGCAGCAACCTCAAAAATGCCATTCTGGTTAAGGGATCCCCAAGAAGGCAGCTGTTTATGATTTGATTGTCACATGAAATCTGGAACATCTGTTAAAGAGGTGAATGGGGAGGATTATAAAGAATGCCACTGTGACTATGGGCGTTATCATATCAAATCCTAGGTTTGGGTTTCTTGATAATTTTTGTATAGCTGCAACTCTTGGGAAGTTTTCTTTTACAATGGGAAGCCTCTAATCAAAGTAATCTGGGATTACATTTCTTGGCATGTAATGCCTGTTATGGTGAGGAAACAGTTGTGCCCGAAGTGTATTTTAAGGGTCCTTAAAGTTACCACAAGTTACTTGTTTGCATGACTACAAATCTCTAGAATGAAGAACAGATTGTATATATGTATAGCATACTGACAGAACCGCTTTATATTTTGCTTTCTTTATCATAATTTGATCAAGGAAGGGAAGAGTTGAGTGGGGAGGGAACAATCAAAGTGCCAATATTTGTGCTGAAAATATTTTACAGATTAGGTGCATATTCTGTATGTCATTTTTATTGACCACTCATTTGCACAGTACTGTGGTGGCTCACAAGTAAAATGATAAATATATATATTTTTTAAAATCAAAGAAAAATCTAAAAGCAAATCTGCATTGGTGCTGAAAATGCAAACCATATACGGACAGTTGGATGCTAATAGGTTTTCTTGGGTTTTATGTTGGAAATGGCTCCACATGTTGTTCTGAAGAATCGTATTTATTGAAATAACACATCAGTGTATGAATGCTAAATACATAGCTTGGACATAGGCATATTTCTTCAGGAATAAATCCCTTTGACCTTGGTGGAAGAAAATTTCTGAGTTAAATTTGCTAAGTGTCCATTTCATTACATTACAATTTTATTCATTTCATTACAATCACAATTTTACCAAGGCAAATTTGTGTGTTAGAATGTATAGGTATTTTTTCCCGTCCTCTAAACAATTCTGTGCTGTTGACATGACTGTGGATCAAGCCTGGAGGGCATTTTATCAGGGGATACTATTCTCAGTCATGACTGTTGATTTTTTTTTCCCTTTCAGTTTATCAGAGTTTTAGATATTGCAATAGGTATGTTAGCTCAATTCCCATACTTCCAAGCTATGTGTATCAATAGCAGAATAGAAGCAACAACTGCATATAGACTCTATACACAAGGATTTCTTAGAGCAAATATCTGTGTAAAGTTCGGTCCTGAAAATGGAATAATTGTTCCTTTGCCCACCTAAGAATTGTTGAACTATAAAGGCTATTAATTTGGAAAATGTTGAATAGATGAACTGAGGCAAAATATTAAAAGTTGTGCATGCATCATTTTGAAAATAGTGAACCTGTTTGGAAACAGGTTTACTATTTACAAAACAAAGATATATGTTTGTTTCCTTGCTGTTTCCATGTTGTCTTGGATATTGGATACCCTATATGAAAAGTTTATTGAATACAGATGTGTATGCACATAGAAATGCACATCTTGGCATCAGAAAAGTTAATATACCATTTTGGGAAAAGTCTGTTACTTTTGCAATAGTTCTCTACACTAGCAAAATAATAAGCTTCTTAATGCTGGATGCCAAATCCATAAAAACTGCATACACTATGCAAACAGCTGTTATACTATATATTTATAGAGTTATGATGAATTATGTTAGCAAATAAATTATCCAAACATTGATCTTCTTATACTTCTGAAACGGGAGGAGTATCTTTGCTTTACTCTCTTCCTCTGAAAATTGAATGGGCAAACTGCAAAAATCTTTCAGCATTATGCTAGAACATTCCAGGAGGAACTCTGTCAGGCTCAAGGAATCATATTCAGAATGGGAATACTATTTTTATTTGCGCTTTCATTTATAGGAGTTATACAGTATATCATGACAGAGGCAAAAGTTCTTACTGTTTGATTCTTGAGCAATGAGTTGTAAGAGGTCCACTATTTCCCTTATCTAGCAAACATGTTCCATTTGCTTCATGGAATGTGGTTACACAAGTATCATGGAGACTTATTGGACATTCCCTCTGATGCAATTAGTGATGTCTGGGACAAGTTGCTACCCTCCTCCACATATAATGGTTTGCAGCACTCTGTGAACTTCCTTTTAAAATATATTGAAAAGGGTCACAAAGGGGTAAGAATGTATTTGTACCGAAAGAAGAATTAGTTTTGCACACACACCCTTTATTGTATTTGAACTACCCAATTTGAAAGAATTTGGTACATTATTTAATTTTATAAACATACAGAAATGTACTCTGCATCTCCATTCTGCCCTGATTCTGCACAGAAATTTCAAACATTGAGCAGAAATATATTTGGAGAATACATATTCCAACTTACTTTCTTTGCTGGGATATATAGTCATAATATTATATAGTCATTATATACAGCAGTGTGCAGCAGCAGTCAAAAAAGCCAACGCAATGCTAGGTTGCATTAACAGAAGGATAGAATCCAGATCATATTAAGTATTAGTACCTCTTT